CCATCTACTGAAGTACCTATCTTAATCGAGCCATAAATTGGTTTTACAGTCTCTCTTATTCCGGCTTACTCTCTCTAAATTTCGTTCTGAAACCGTCTTCTGTTAATTGGTATCTTTTCAAAACTGCTGTTTTTAATTCTTGATAGTCTGATGCTTGCTCAGGAGGCAAACTAGTGTAAACTTCAAGACCTTTCCCCGTTAATAAAGAACTTAAGCTTATTGCCCATGTATCTTCTTTCATCCTTGACTAATGGAGAACCTTTCAAAACGCTCTATATAAGCATCTATGTCATCTTTTGAAGTCTTCAAATTTAGGCTACCTTGGCCTCAAACCGGTGCTAGACGGGTATCAAGGCGATCCCAGCCTCGATTTTTTAACTTCATTAATTCTATTTCTTGCTCTTTCATTTTCATCTCTACTTCAGCTTGAAATAAACGTTTCTTTTCCCCACGTTCGGCTTCTTTTCTAGACGTTCGATTTCACGTTCAGCTTCTTTTGCTTTACGCTCGGCCTCAAATCGCCGTTTATCTTCTTCACGTCTAATATTTCTCTCTTCTCTATCAAGATATTCTGATTCTTTCTTTTGAACATAATCACGTAAATCCCCGTCCTTCAACCCAAGCCTCTCTCCCAATGATACCCATTTCTCACAATCCATAACTGCTTAATAATGGATTACTATTTAAAAAAAAATAAACTTTTACGAAACCCGTAAAGTAAACACTTATTAATCAACAAAATGGTGTACCTCTGTAGCACCGACAATCGGTATTCCAAATCTAATCTCTATATAACAATGGCACCTACCGGGCACCGGCAATGAACTTGTATCAACAGTAACAACCAGGGGACCGATATCAATCTTCATGTAGTGTTTAACAACTATATAAACTTTATGACAACAACCAACTGAGCACCGGCGGCAGAAACTATCTATACAATTATTACATACACTTTTATGAATATCACTCACTGGACACCCGTTATAAACTTTTATCAGTTACTGATGTTTATAACTTCAACAAATTTTAAGTTATATCTTTATCATCGATATAAACTTGTTAACACAATGATTCAAACTATCAAAACCAATGTCTCCCAAAAACCACTTAATTCTATCACCGTATAAACAGTATTCAACAAAAGGTGCTCTCCTGCTAAAATGTAATAACTTCTTCTGTATATAAACTTTAAACACAGGCCGTCACCGCTTCCCTACATATAACTCTCTATTTAAACCCTAATGTACAGAGAGTTTACTTGTATAACACTACAACGCAAGTTTATCGATTTTCGCCTAATAGTGTTTACACTGCTTTATTTTACCAACAGATTGAAAATAATCTAAGGTTTAACAAAAAAAAGTATCAAAGTTTAACAAACAATAATTTGCCAGGAAATATCCAAACTTAAAGAGAGTATCCCGGACGAGCCCCCAAATTGTCAGGAGAAATGTCTGCCTTGATGTTATTTAATCTTAGGAAAGATTTAGCAATAAATACTAGAACCAATTTCCAAGATATGGGGGCTGGGCAGCACCGCCTGACATAAAATTGAAATATTTTCAGTTGGAAAACTAGCATGTAATTGTTTAGTTAACACTATTTTTTTTTTAGGTATTTTTATCTTTTTCTATCTCAAATCAATATATACATTTAAACAACAAACTCCGACTATTATTTACACCCAAAACAAAGAACTCTGATCATTATTTACACCCAAAACAAACACACATCATTTATCAGCCACTTATACGAAATATCTTTTCACGTATACGTCTTTTATACGAAACAATACTAGACACCTGGCGAGCCCAAGCTCTAAACCACTTACGATCAAACAAAACAATAAAATCGCCACAAAATGAAGAACACAAAAATGAACATTTTTACAACTCTAAGATACAGTATAAACCACAAACATTCATCCAACAATATTAACTTCACACAATCTAATCAGCATTAGAAAACAACTTAAACTAAAGCACCCAATATTTACATATATCCTCAAAACAAAGCAGCAACTAATATAATCTTGACCAGACAAACATTCAACCAATATCAACCAAATATATCTTCACAAACAGATATAACTCAACAACCAAAACAACTAATTACAACCAATAAACCCTGATCAATTAAGATCACCACAATTATATTCAACCAACTTCAATAAACCAACAAACTCCCAACAAAACAACAAATTCTCTTCTTTACAAAAAAATAACCCGCTACACACTATCAGCGTGTCTCTCCTAACTGATGTAAAATCTCTCTCAAAACGCGCATATTTGCTAGCTGAAACGATTTGACCTTTAAACATGTATACATATTTTATACTCCCAGCAACAGGTTTATAAATGAAACTGTACATTGAAATCTGATACACTTCAGTGTATCGCTGACTCGTTGTAAAAAAAAACTATCTACAGTGAAACTGTATGATTATTCTGACAAAAATGTCACATCCGACCAACAAAGGTCAATGTAAAAACTGCAAAATAAAAGGTTGCGATTTTCCGTAGATGCTACAATCAATGTTGACCAACCCTTAACAAAGTACAAAATACTGCATTATATTCAGTTGCTAGTACTTCACGCTATTATAAACCATAGCACCACGCACACTCTTGACATTGATGTGTCCTTCAACACCATGACCTATCAATGAAGACATTTTACTAGGTATTTCACACACATTCAGTTTGAGAAAAACAAATATATGAAAGGAAAGGAAAAAAAGCCCAAATTTACAATATAACTTATTCAATTTCAATATCACAACTTATCAAACAAAGCTTGTCATAAAATGGCTATAAAAACCATATCATTAAATTAGTAAATGATAGAGCTACCTCTTTCGAAGGTATACGGTAAATTGCTCTATCGCTACTTCCGTGCTAGGTCCGCAATTAAGGCGCAATCTTGACTGAAGCAAGCTAAGACTTATTGACTGTTAAGACCATACTGTGTGCACTTTTTAAAATATTCCTTTTGTCTATATGAAATTGACATACATTTTTTTTCCGTCTTTTTTGCGGTTAACACTGTACATGTGATATTTTTATTAACGCAAATGTTTAGTAACTACGTGCAGAAGAAACAGCATATTGACGAGAAGATAAGTACCAATGAACCGTATAAAAAAATCCATAGCAAAATCCATAACTACATGCAGCTAAAAGGGAATTTAGAGTGAATTGCCGAAATGTTCCTCAATACATATATTGCGTAAGTAAATATCGACAAATCATTTCATAAGCGATGTTTGCTTGATCCGTCATATCAAAATGTGCTACAGCAACATCTCCGTCTTGGCAGTAAGCATTTTTGGTTGAAAAACGTATATAGCGACTGCAATAAGATAGAAAGCACAAAACTGTAAGCTTGACCATAATCATAGCAATTGCAAAAAAATGTACACTTAGAAGTTATTTTCGTGTACAAATCGATTTGTTTGATTGTTAGATGGATCTATACATTTTCCATTATTTTGTTTGCATTTTTATAGATCCAGAGCTAAAGTAGTTCTTGTGGATCTCTCAATGTATAAATCCAATGTGTGATATATAGATGATATTGACTGAATGTAAGTTTTATACTGAATTTATTGAACGAGTTGAATAAAATTATATTATGCGAGCCTCTGGCGAGCATAATTTTATTATATTCAACGAGTTTAATAAATTAAGTAATGAACTTACACGTATTTAATATTCTATTTATCAGATACCAAAAAATAAAGACCGTTTGAAGTGGTAAAAAACTATTATTCATTGACGCGCCTTTGGTATAACGCTAACATATATAACGTCTCCTCAAAATATATAATTACTGTTTATACGGAGTCGCAAAATCGGCACGGGTTTGTGATAAATAGCATGATTCATTTATATAGTAAATATAACCGAGATAGGCTGATCATTATTGAGCACAATAAACATCACTGTTTCTGTCTTATATGAGCCAATCACAGGTACTTTAAACAAACTATTTTTTAATGTTCTATATGGGCTTTATACCATAATAAGTCTTATTTTAGTACATATCCTATATAGAGCATTAAAAATGTTTGTTTTAAGTACCTGTGGAGCCAATGAACACATTTATGATCATAGTTTGACTTGACTTAAAATGGAAACTTATGTTATGATAGTTTACTTTAATTACATGACTTATTATGTTTTTATCATGAACAAAACATAACCAGAGTTCAACATATATTTTAAAAGCATTTATCAAGATCAACTTATTTATTCAGAGCAATTCAATTATTTGATTTATGAATATTTACTAAAGAAAGATTTTTCAAATAAAGCTGTGTAAACTTTTATCTGTTTTCCTTGTAAAATCAGTCGTTATGGAAAAATAGGTATAACAGAAAACAATTAAAGCATAAGTCATGAAAAAAATAATGATGCATTTAATATCAAAAGAATTAAAACCTGTGTTTGTTACGGGTTAAAATTGAATGCAGACTTCACTAGATTATCATTGTAAATATTTCAAATCGTTCCCTGGTTGCCCCAAACATACATAGCTAAATATAAAGTCTGCTAAAACCAAATGATCTTGTCTCTGACTCTGTACTACAACCAACTTTTGCTTTTGTTCTGGTATATAAATGTGTTATATTTTCATTGGACAATTCAATATTCAAAGCTGGACAAATTCAGCAGATACAGGATCAAATAGATTACTGTTACATGATAAGTGAAATAGAAAACTCTTTGATAAAACATAATTATGTTCTGTATTAAACAAAGTTGACATGGAATGTGAAAAACAATCTGTTCTCGACTCAATCATTTTAATCACAAAGTAAATTACACATAATTATTTAAATAGAAGAGCATATGTACATTACCAGAATAAATGTCATATTTAACTTCAAGTCACGTGACGAAGTATTTTCTTTATTATTGTTACATACTTAAAAGATGCCTAGTCAACCAAGAAATATAATGACATGGAATCAGCCTTGAATTAAACTTACCTACCAATTGCCAAAACAAATAGAAATCCTGCACAAAACATTTTTGAAATGTTAAATCGAGATGGAATAACGTTGAAAATATTGTCGAAACTGGGATCACAGGCACTGTTCACAAAGAGATAAGAGACATGCGGTAAGTCACGACTAGCTCTTCAAATGGCACAATCTTTAAATTTATCAGCAGATTAGGTAACATTTGGTTTGTTGATATTTAATATTTTATTGACATAATTATGATCTTACATATTGATATTGATTTTATGAACACTTGGTTTTACTTACTTTATATATTAGTAAAGATTTTATCTCATATTAACACTGGAAACAAAGGATATATATAAGCTCATTTATAACAGGCAATTACTAAATCGTCATCATAAAACTACCCTATATATCATTTTAATATATTTGCTAAAACACTCATTGCCCTGTCATGTATAAAGAAATAAGAATAATTATCATTGAATTTACTTGGAAATTACTGAATGCTATGAAGTCCAATGGTAGATTTACATAATCATTCAAAGAAAAGTAAATGTGTCCTATGGAAGTGACTTGTTGTTATGTAAAAAGTCAATGTTTGCTATGTTAGTCACTTGTTGCTGTAGAATACAAATTGCAATGAAAGTCAATGGCTGCTATGAAAACACTGGTTGCTATAGGAGTCAATGATGTTTATGGAAAGCAAGCACTGGCTATGGAAAGTCAATTGTTCTTATGGAAAGTTAATGGTTCTTATGGAAAGTCAATGGTTGCTATTAGAGTCACTCATTGCTATTTGAAGTCACCGTTTGATATGAAGGTCAAAAGTTACTATGGAAACCAATTGTTGCTATGGAAACCAATTGTTGCTATGGAAAATCAATGGTTGCTATTGGAAGTCACTGGAAGTTATGAAAAGTCAATGAGTGCTAAAGACTTATATGGTTGATATGGATAGTCATTGTTTGCTATGTCAGTCAATAGTTGTTATGAAAAGTCACTTGTTGCTATTGAAAGTCAATGGTTTCTATCTGAGTCATTAATTGCTATTTGAAGTCATTGCTTGCAGTGGTAATCTAAGGTTGATGAGGAAAGTCACTGGTTGTGACTGTAATAGAAATTCAATGGTTGCTTTGAAAATCAATTGTTGCTATAAAAAGTCAATGGTTAAAACAGAAGTCACTGGTTGCTATGGGAAGTCACTGGAAGTTATGAAAGTCAACGGGTGCTTAAGAAGTCTATGGTTGCTATGGAAATACAGTGGTTGCCATGCAAGTCTATGGTTGCTGTAAAAATTCAATGGTTACTATGTGAGTCATTGGTTGCTATGGGGAGTAACTAGTTGCTATGTGAGTCTATGGTTGCCGTAGAAAGTCTTTAGTTGCTAGAAAATTAATGGTTGCTTTGGGAAGTACCTGGAAGGTATGAAAAAAAATGTGGTGCTTAAGAAGTTAATGATTGCCATTGAAAGTGTCTGTTTGCTATGGAAAGTCAATGGTTGCTATGGAAAGACAACGGTTGCTCCGAAAGTCAAAGTTTCTATGGAAAGTTACTGGCTGTTATGGAAGGTCAATGGTTGATATGAAAGTCAATAGTTGTTATGGTAATTCAGTGGTTGCCATTGAAGTCTATGGTTGCTTTAAAGAGTCACATTTTTTTTCTCTTTATGCTTTGTTCATGATTTTAAGCAATTTTTCAGGATTTATGCTACATAAAATCAAGCATTCCTCTTCATGATGTCACAGTAACAGTTTTGAAATAGAGTTCTATAAAATTTCTCAAATTGGTATTGCTTCCCTTAAAGAAACCAAATTTTATATGCTACAGGGATGATTCCAGTTGATAATTCAATTTAGTTGTGATATTTTCTGTTCATCCACATTCAAATATAGTCTGCCTGGCTACTTTAAAACTATATTTGGTAGAAAACAAATAAAGTTTCACTGTCCAATAGAATGCATACATTAATACAATTTATTCTCAAAATATGAGGTATGTCTTTGTTTATACTATAATATCATATAATTGTCATTCAATAGTATACTTTTCATGTTTAAAATGAAATATCTAGTCTCTTTTAAATACAGAAAAAAGAAAAACAAGGTTTCTTTTAAGCAAAGACTTAATTCATCAAGTGCTACATAAATGTTTAAAACATTTACATCACTCAGTCTATTAGCACTCATTTGATCAATATCTTACAAAATTACATAAGTTTTGTTTCCTGACAACTTCGCTGATAGTTATGAATTGTTACAGGTTCCACTACATAGAGCAAAGAAATGAAGCATGACATCAAAGCCGGTGTCAAGAATGTGTAAACATTAGACAGCTAAAAAAAGCAGCTGGAACTTCAAATTAAATACTTCTCTAAATTAGAGCAATAAAGACATGGTTGTTTATTTACACGTATTAATTGTTTACTATAAATACTATGATTTCTTACATAAGTGTATAATTTGAACAAATACTGGTAGCCAGTACCGATACGATTATCCAACTTCAGGAACGGTAAAAAGGCTCTATCTAGTTACTGCTTAAAATTACCCGAGTCTCAGATATTCCTGTCAGTACTACCTACCAGTATTTATTTCTTTAACTTGCATATCACGCTTAAATTTAGTTATGTTCATGGTGCCCAAAGAACCTCAACGAAACATGCCATTGTTTCATAAAAGACGTGTGAGAGTGTCATCATTTAAAGCATAAGAGTTGTTTAACATGTAAGTTGGAAAACATGATTTAATACAGCCGGTAAAAAGAATATAAAACCATGTATGATACGCAATAACTTTCTGTCTAATATGCAAAAATTCTACATAACTTCTAAACGTTTTGTTTATGTTTTGATTTTTTGTTTCTTGTTTTTATTTCAAAAAAATTTTTGATCATGATAAAAAGCTACAGAACAACTTATTGATAAATTAAGAGAAATTTGTTGGTATATTTCGTAGCTTTACTTAATGAAATTCATTTTTGGCTCGACTTTTTTCAAAGAACGTAGAGGTATCATTACTGTCATGGCGTTCACTTTGCCGTTGCCGTCCCCAATACTTTAGCGTAGATCATTACTTTTAAAGTTCTCAGTGTATCGCCTTAATACTTGGCCACAATAGCCCTTGGGACAAGACCTTCAAGTAGACAAGACTAAACTTGACCTTCATTCATAAGTGAATTTGAACTTCAGTGTTAAATGCCTAAATTTTCCTTAATTTTTGCTGAATTTTACTAGTATTGTCTATGTCTTTTTTATTTGTGAATGAATTGTCCTCAAACATTCTTTTAGGATAGACCTTCAAGTAAACCACGCAGACCTTGACCTTCATTCTTGATTGATCTTGAACTTGAAGGTCAAATTATCGAAATTTTCATTTTTTGCTATAACTGGCTGTAACTTTGTTGTTAATAAATGAATTGACTTCATGTTAAGATATAACATTTTTAAAATAAGGCCTTCATGTTTATTAAACTCAAATTCACCTTGGCTTATTTATGTCATTGAACTTGAAGGTCAAATAATTGAATTTTCACTAGTTTCTGGTATAATTGACAATAACTTGGTAATTGTTATATGGCTTATCTTCATACTTGGATAAAACGACAGTGGCACATGTTATGATTAAATCTGTCAATAGTTAATACTTACAAGTCCGGGCATTAAAAGTATGTCTGTACATGTACTATGTGATCCCTGAATCTCAGACCATTGAGAAAAGCAGCATAGTTTCCATTATATGTAAAGCCTTGATGGAATGGAAACTGCCATCATCATTATCATCTTGAAATGGCATCCGAGTGTTGAGCTTTCAACAGATATTATGTAACACAGCACATGCATAACTACCCTATAATAGATAATGGACGAGAGTAAGATTAAAACTTTTTTATCCAAAACGTCCCGATTGGGTTTATCTCTTATCTGAGTGTTGAATTAGAAAAAATAGCAAAACTGAGAATGGTTTTAAGTATTTTTCTTTGTCATTACTTATTTTCTTTTAATTGTAATAAGATGAATACTGTTTTGATTATAAGGTTTATAGTTGGATGAAATGCAATTTGACTGAGGAACTGCTTTTACGTGTTGAGTTATCACAATTGTAGCCATCGTTTAACCCTTCGACTTGGCGACAAATTAAATGGTTCGAATTACTGGGGTCTGAGCTCCAGAAGCTGATTTGGTTTTGACCCCTGGTTTTGCTTTAGGTTTGTCACACCCGAGGTGAGCCACGCTCACCTTTCCTGTTTCGGCGCCATTCGGCGCCATTCGACCAAGACTGTGTTGGTGCGCCTTAAAACCAAGTAAATTAACATTTATAAGGCTTTAGTGTTTCCAACTTCTGTATTGTAAGGTATCCACAAAAATATGGGTCAAGGTATTTGCTACTTACATTGTTATACATGTATTTTGGGCATTTTAATAAGTTAAAATATTCTGTTTCTACCAAATTTAATGGACAAGTTCGGCACTTCCTATCCTCTTTTGAAATATTATCGTTCCTCCTCTTTTTTACCGTCAGATTGTGAGGTAATAGTAGGTTTTCTTATTACGTAAACATGTCAGGATAGGAAAAAAGTAATTTTGTACAAGTCTTAGTCTAAGTTTTCTTAGTTTACAATAGGTTTTTCAGGAACAACTGTGTCTAGTGAGTAAATAAAAACATACCAATTTACTTGTTTTGATACCAATGACGTCTGTAAGGAATTTCTTTACTTTGAAAGTTGGGCGGGTTCTTAAACTTTATTTCTTTACTTGAAGATCAAGACCGAAATGACAACATAATAAAGGTTCTGACTTTTAAATGTTAAATGTTGGAAATCCATCAATAAAACACCTGATATCCGTAACACCCCCCCCCCGCCCCCCGTGATCTAGGATTTCACTGGCGACCATATTGATCTCCCTGCGAATATCGTTAATACACAAAATCATGAATTGATAAATTAAGGAATTCTGACCTTAAAAAAACATTAACTATACATTAATTAAGTTCTTGAAGTAAATTTGTCCGAAATGTTAACAATAAGAAATCTTCAATATTTACTATGAATCGGCATATTCGTTACTAAATCGGCGTAACGTTTTATTTGGGTATTCGATGAGAATTTCTATCGTTATATCTTTTCCATCAAAGCGTGTCTATTTTATATAATGTAATTATTTAAAGCCATTCGTTCTCCTTTTCTGTATAATTCCAAAACAGTATTTACAGCATGTTCTCTATCAATTAAGGTGACAAAGAATTGGTTATGAAAATAAGGCTTATGTTTTCATAATGAGAAGAAAAAACAACAATCTATATTCTGTCAGCTAAATGGTGATTTGTTTAAAAATATTTTATTATATACTTGTACATGATAAATTAACAAAATTTCAGCAATATAATATGTAGCATAGAAACAATGTACATACAAAAGGGTTGGCCCAAAAGTTAGAGTAACAAGATCTATGGTAATTCTTCTTCAGCTAAATGGTTACTTAGTAAATAATCCTTGATTTAAGAAATTTTAAGATATTTATCAGGTCAGCGATACAAGCTTAATTTTATGTTATTTTGGTTTTGGAGTGATATAGCGTCAAGATTAGGCGAGGGTGATATTATATCTTGGCAGGTACTATATCACATAGATCACTCCAAAACCAAAATGATAATTTTATAACCCTTCCCCTGCTGAGAAAGACGATTTTAAAATAAATAATTGCTGTTTCAAATGAAACGTCAAAATAAGATTCCCTTTCGGGTACCCCTTCACCACAACATTACGTCACATAAATGAGTGAGACTAAAAAAAGGATCGGAGCACCACACTAAATACCGTATACCTGTATATACCGGACAAGGCGCTTGAATGATAAAATGCTAAAATCTTGTCTTTTTACCCAACGGAATGAACTTTAATAGGTCTAATTCATCTTTTCACACCGATTTAGGTATGATAATGAATGAAAAACGTAAATATCGGCGGAAAAAAGATATTTCTCTATTTTGTGATCATGATTTCTGCAAGCGTCTAGAGGTACTGCTCCAATCCTGTATTGAGTTAAATCCCACATAAATACATGAAGTATTTGCTTTGATACTTAACGAATGTAAACAAGAGAAAAGGAGTAATCTGTTGAAGCATTTTTGTAATTAATATCAAGTCGTGGCGAGGTAATATTTGTGTTAGATACTGATGAGAATATTTATCATTACTCTATTTTGGTAAATGTTTTTAGTTGACAGAAAGTGCTTGTATAACGGAATTTACACTGCATAACATCAAACCGTACGCGTATCGTCACAGCGCATGTTGCTTGCAACGTGGGGTACCAAAACGGGGAAATTTAGAGTGTATATTACCTGTCTGGCTCGGTAATATCAATTCATTTTGACGGATAAATATCCAATCAAAAATGGGGAATCTGGAAGGGTAATAAATATTTCTTAAGAATGTAAAAGATCGCTTTCTCTAACAAGCAAACCAAAGAGAGATACAGGAAGATAAAAAGAAATTGTCTAGTTGTCAATGATATTTGTAATTGCAAAGTAAATCAATAATTCGTCAAAATCGAAATATACTTAACACAAACAGACAACAAAATCAATAATTACGTATGGAACTCTTCTGCTACTTTTAAAAAAATGTAAACTTCTTGAAATTATCTTATATTTTCTGCTGTTGTTAATGTAATAATTTTATAATGCTAAGATGATGGAATTATGGAATGTTGATGACATGACCCATCTTGCCTATATGCAACATCTAAATGCTTAGGATGGTCTACAAACATAAGCTGTACATTATTGGGAGAAAAGGGAATTCGAATCATGAAAACATGACCTCGGTTTTTGCAGTATTAAAATTAACAAACTAGTACTGTGGTGGAGCCCATGATGTTATTGTGTTAAGGTTTATCATTTGGCTATATTAGTCCGTAATATAATGAAATGCATTGTTCCGCAAGGTCTAAGTAATTCGTATAGGGCATTCAATAATATAAATCATATCAGTACATCTTTAAATTTATGATTAACTGATTTTCATTAATATCCCCTACAATACAATGCAATCCAAACAGATTCAGGAAGTAGATATTCTGAGATGATTAATCGTCTTGGTCTTATGAGAGAAGAAACATAAACCTTTGGAATGAAATGTTAATGCTTGACAAAAGATTGTTAAACTCCGAAAATTGTATATTACTTTTGCGAAAATTTTCATCTTGCTAATTTTCAGTAAGACACAAAATATCAACATCTAAAAAATCCATTAGATCTATATAGTCAAACTTACTTCCTATGAAAGATTTCTTTATAAACACATGGTCTATGGTTTAATTAAACGTCGCTAAGCATACTAATCAGATATATAATGTAAAGCAAATACTTTATTTCATAACATGTGGAACTTTTAGAATAGACTCAATAAATCAATAGAAATATGAGTGCATTCTTTCTTTAAAATTGAAAAGAAAAAGAAAAGAAAGAATGAGACAGAATTTAATAAAAAAAAGTTGAAAGAGTTTTTTAGTTGATGAACAAAAATCAAATATAAGATAAACGTTGTCATTTTAAGCGGTGAACATTATAAACAACAAGTATTAAAAGATCATAAGCCATATATGTGTATAAGTCATTAGAAATATACCAGCGCACATCAATATGGTATGAGTGTCTATGATAATTTAATCAAGGTGAAGATGAGGCAGAACTAGAATGACAAATTTATATACATGGCAATGTGAAAGAAAACAAAACAAAAACAGTCGCTATCAAAGAAATATAAATGAACAATGATATATAAAGCGTATTTAAAATGGATTTTTTAACTTGATTTAGGAAATAATATCATTTTTAGTGCATTAATTGTTGTAGGTTAATGCACGGTTTGAGTTCAAAAGCGCATGAATATAATCACGAATAATAAAGTCCATTAGGCCTCAGTGATTATTTACAAAGCATTTTAAAGATAAATCGTGCATTTTATACAACAATGCAAGAAAAATTAATATCTATTTCAATTCTAACACGCCAGAAAAAGGGAATTGATAGAAATATGATGAACTATACTGAGTGTAGAAGTAATTTCCTACATCATTTGGTTTATTGACGTCATATATGACGTCATATGAAGTGTAAGCAATCCTTTTTTAATGTTGTGCATAAATCGTGTAATAATGCACTTAATTTTCCTGGGGAAATTTGTGAAGCGTTTCAGAATATTTATTAACAGTAGAGCTTTTAATATTTAATGGATTTAATAGAATTGATTGAGGTAATATGTAGACCTCTTTCATCAAGAAACAACGTCTGTGAGTAAATGGAATGTTTGTTTGTTTGTTTGCCAGTAGATCTACTTCAAAAGTTTTCTTTTTTCAAACTTGCTAAACTTTTTTCCATCAGATTATGTGTTGAAGACAAAGGCAAATATATAAGCGATAGATCCAAATTATTTTAAAGTTAATATAATTGTTTTCTTACTTTCTTCTTTCTCTAACACCAACGATTGAAACCCAATATCACATTAATTGAATATTCCTGTCAATTGTTCTACTTTGCTTAATAAATGTAAATAATATAAAATATGCGTATATGTATATAGACGATATACCCTTCACTCATTTATAGTAATATGATAAATAAAATATATGCAAATGAATATGATTCTGTTATCCAAACATGCAACTGCATTTATCATTATCTGTTCTTTTTAAAATGATTGTCACTCATTATACAAAATTATAACCTAATCATCAGATGAAAATCTTTCATACACCCCAGCCATTACTGGACCAATAATAGGGACTAGGCTCAGCATGGTTTTTAACACTGTTTTTTTCATAGCAGGTTTGGCTTTTACAATTTTGTAAGATGAGCTTTGATTTTCGAGACGTTGATTAAGTTCTTCTTTTTCCTTTATCGCACTTTCTAAATCTTTCTTTCCTCTCTCATAATCGGCAAATAACTTTGCATACTTTTCTTCTAATTCTTTCCGTTCCTTCTCTCTTTTAGATGCCAGTTCCTCTTTAAAAGCCTTCCAGTTTTCTTCTTCAGAACTTTTCTTCGAATCTTCCTTTTGAAGTAGTTTATCATTTTTCACTGCCAACATTTCAGCGTGTTTCTGAATTTCAGCTATGTAAAAGAAGTTTTCTTAATATATCGAAATTTTCTTTACCTTATAGATATGTCAAAAATAAACAGTGAGACCTCTAAAACAAAAGACAATTTCAGAACTTTACTTTTCAGGATTTTATTATAGACAGTTTGGTGATTTTTGAAGCCATATGGATCATATTCTGCATTGAACTAATACATGTATGTTCTTATGATATCATGTTTTATCCATTCAAATTCTATGAATAATTTTGAGTCGACTGGTTTCTCAGTTACTTCCAAATCAACTGAAATATATTCACGCTTTCTGTAATTATTGCTTATTTATCTGTTTATATAAAAACAATATTTACATGAATTACAGTACCTTCTATTTGTAATCCATTTATGCTGGAATTCGTCCATATTTTTTCATCTTGTTTTCTACATCGGTTTTCAAACTCTAGACAACTTAACTTAAGCTGAAAGTATCATAGATTCTACTTTCATTTCAATTAGTTGATTTATAAGGCACCTCTTAAGTTAACAAAAAAAATATTGAAGAATGCAATATTTACTTAGTAATAAAATAAAGCTTTTGTTGCAAGACTTATTTCGATTATTTCTCTAATGCAATACGTACTATATTTTTTTATAATTAAAATGTTAAATATCTTACAACGTTTGGATTGACTTCATGTAGACTTTGTTTGATACTTTCTCTTATAATAGCAAAGTCCTCTCTATATTCGGTATAGCCCGCTGGTTTAAGATATGTTCCATTGGCGACTTTTGGTTTAATCAATTTGTCATACATGGACTGAAGTTCTTTAGCGCACTTCTGTTGAACATAGAGATTATTTTCTACCATCTGTTTTATTTTAAATGAATCCATTGCTCCCTAGAAATATAACAGATTTATATTTAGACGTAAGAAAATATTCACATAAAGAAGAACAAAGATTCAAACATCAAACTTTTTGTTAGAAAGTTGATTTTATATGGTAGGCGAGTAAAAGGTTTTTATTCAAATTAAATGACTTAAATGATAATAACTTGAAATTCACGCACGATGTTTCAAATAAACTAAAATGTTTTTGCTTACAAATCATGAAACTGAAAGTGAGATTGATTTGTGGGAATGTCTTATCCTAAGACATAAGTCTCGTGAAAAATAAGACTCTTTTTGATACCTTTATTTGAAACGGTTATTGGTATCTCTCAAATAACAAATCATTAAATCTTTGTTTATCAGTAAGTAAAATATAAGCCGAATTCAGATAAAAATTACTATAATTTCATAAGTGTGTATTCTATATTTACGTTGATGTAATATCGATATCTACTTATAAAATTTGTTACCATATATTCAAAAATTATGAAACCGGGAATTGATTTCAGAATAATATTCAAATTGACGTCATAGCTTATCGAGCGCACATCGTTACCTGTAGCCAACCCAAACTGTATAATCTTAATAGTCAAATAAAAATGGAAAGTGGGGAAAAGTATATTGTATAAGAAGTTAGCACATTGTGTAAGACAGATAAAGACAGCATCAATGGAAGCATAAAAGGATCCATAAATGTTAGTTATTATTCCTATTTATTTTACCCTGCTACAAGTTCTGAGAAGTACTGATTGGTGATAAAGTTATTTCATCTTAAGCTCCACGCGTTTTTGTTGTGTTTTATTTTTTGAAGTCAAAATACCACATTTGATTTCTTTCTGACAAATTATTTAACATTCAGCGCTCCTTAATTCTGGTGATATGGATATGATATGTTTTAATTTACTAGTATCGTAAAAAGTAACTAAACATATGCTTGTCCTTTCCTTCTTGTAGACCATCGAGCACGGCTTTCTTACGAATATATTCAAGGGCATTCCTTTGCACTTTTTGGTATTTTCGTTCAAAATCATCAGGCAACAGGACTCCCAAAGATTCTATCTGCCGTTTACACATGCCAACAGCTTCTTCGACAGCAACTTCATTTTCCTGTTTTGCCATTGTTGTCAAGGCATCATCAATACACGGCATTTCTCCATTTGCAAGTGAATCTGTGTATTTCTTAGTCAACGAGGCAAACACTGGAATAGATAGAATTATTGGAAGAGGGATGACCTCTCGGAAGCAATAAAACAACAATAGAATAAATCTTATATAATGTGAACACTTCATACTTGTTTTAAATTAATCTATTTGATAGTGGGTGGTCATTTTATATTATGATCTTTTTTTCTATCTTTATTTTTTCATTTTGACTCTTCTTTTTTAAAGTTAAAGCAAAGAAAGTATTTAGAAAGATTCCATAGTCAAGTTATAACACTATTGCAAACACTTCAAAAACATACTTCTTCCATTAATAGAACTGCCATCAAACAATTTGTTTGGTTCGGTACTGAACATATATTGTAGAAACTTTTCTGTGTCTGCACGAAAATCTTCACTCAGATCTGATTCGTGCACTTCTTCTAATCTGTCTAAGATTTTACGGTTTGATGCTGGGATTCCAAAAACAAAACATTTTCTCCTTGGAAAATGCTTTAATATTGATTGTTTTATTTCATTGTACTCTTGTATTTTCGTCAGTTTAACGTCCGTTTCTAGGGCTAAACTATTTTCAAAATATGTGTCTGGGGTTTCATTTTCGGGGATATTAAGTGTGAAGTCACGCAGGCAAAGAACAAATGTAGGAAAGACTAAACGAAAATCAAGAACGTGTTGTGGTATTTCGTCACTTATAATTATTTTCTCAGATAAGTTTGTCACAAATATGTTTTTTTGTTAAGGAATGTAAAAGTAAGTAACCACAAGAAGCTAAGTAAGATTATAAGATCACATATAGACTTATAGAGAATACTACATAATAGAATTTATCTTAACTGACAATACGGCTGACATTGGGTTGTCCACAAAGCTATTAAGTACAACTTTCAAACATTATCAATTAACCCTCATTAAAATGAATACATTGCGTAAGTTATATAAATATCTTTGAACATGTTTTATGTTCAAACATATTCATTTTTAATTTTTACATACAGACTATGCGAAGATTGAGATTTAAGTAACTTCAAAATAAGATCATAATAAAACTGTAAAATTATATATTTTTTACAAAGTATAGATATTTCAACTACTGGATATTTATCTTGTCTTTCTTTTTATTATTTTTCAGAATACTTCCGTAACATTTTTAATGTGAAATTTACATATTTGTTGTCTTCAGGATACTGCATAAAATGGTCTTAGCCAGAGCATAGAATGAATATTATTTCTTGGAAGTAACTGACAGGGAGCAGTTTTTCTTACCAAGTATAGGTGAGACTTTCGAATAGCTTCTTTTTTTTAAGAAAATATTGTTGTTTTATGTACAAAACTTGCTGCCAATATGAAACTTCAGCTATATCTCATTTCTATTCTGTTGTATGATGTAAAATTTAAAGATCAGATAACGTTAAGTTTTTAAGATGAAATAAATCACTAAGTTTGTAAAATATATATAAAATTTTGAAATTGACCGAGTCACTTTTAACTACTTACTTCTTATTTTTATTTGCAGAAGCTGTTAAAGACAGTCAAAAATTATTCAAACATCATCATGAAACATTTAAGACATGCCCAGAAAGATCAAGAAAGGGGGTAGATTGGAACAGATTGTACAAGAAGAGTGTAACTAAGATGACTTTTTAAATCGTTTGAATTTTAACTGCACCTGAACTGTATTTTTGAAATAAAATATCTTAAGTATTTAATATTGTCTTGATTTTTTGGTTAAACTCTTTGTTTTATATCTTAAAATTAAATTTTTGTAGGTTTCATTTTATAATATTGTCATATAGGAACATATTGGGACTAAGAGTGAGGTTTGGCGCGCCTTAAACCGGTTTTAACTCCCCAGTGGTGTTACTACCACTAACCGTTCCAAGGCTGTACCCCTATGTGTTCCTTCCCGTGTTTTACATGCGTGTATTGTTACAAGTTTTGAATGGTTGCATGTTTTGTTATGTCTACCTTGTTAAATTGTCGTTAACGGTAAGTATTTACTTTCGATCCCCCCTCCCTGTTCATCCAGATTTCCGTACCCCGACTTTCCCATTGCACCCCTTATTTCTTTAATTGCCCCCTTTTGTTTCTAATTGTTTGTGTTTAGCCGCCCTTTTGTTCTCTCCCAATTCTGGTTTGGTGCCTCCTGGGTACCTGCTGTTGTAGTTGGGGTGTGTCGGGGACTGGGTCCTGTGAAATCAGACCATTTTTCAACGCAATTAAAACGTTGATGTGCCTGCTTGGATGATAACTGATAATGTATGATTTAAGATAATAGATGTAAATAAAAAAACTCATACAATTGATGAAAATGAAGATTATTTAGTACAAACTTTCTAAGATATAAAAATACTGAACCACTTTTTTTACTTCAACGTAACATGATAAAATTGGAAGGACGTTGATAGAAATTTCAGTGTGTTACATAGGTTAATGATTATATTGATGAAGAATAATATGAAATCTTAAACATTTTTGGCAAAATGTAAAATCAAGTTTACTTAACCTGCACATTCACTTTTACGATTGGATGGGCTTGATGTCATTTCAAGAAAAACTTTTTCTGTCGCTCTGTATGAGTAAATGCAAAAGGATACGAAAGCTTCTTCAAAAGATCGTGGTTTATAACTCCCATACAGTTATACACAAATGTTCCACTTATAAGTATAGCTAGACAAAGAATGTTATTGTCATTCTCTTCATCGCCCTGAAATGTTTAAAACATTAAATAACGTTATTTGTATGAAAGCATAGGACACAATTATCAAAGAAATATGGTAAGATCCTTTTCTTTAAAAAAATTTAACAAAACAAGGCAATCTGAAGGACAGGTACTTCCCCTTCCGCAGCGGACATGAACGTGTATTTCTTTACCTTTAACCAACCATGACTTTCATGTTGTGCCATGAATGTCATAAGCACATTTGCTCATCACAAAAATCTGTTTTAGTTATTGAACAAATAGCTTCCAAATTCAAATGGATACTTTTGTAGATCATCTAGGTCTTGGAAACCGTGGTTGATTTAAGACGTCATATATTGATATGTTCCTAACATATTTGGTTGCATCATGCTTCAGGCAAAATTGCTGTTTCGAGTGATTTAGTGATATATCCTGCTTGTTTTAACTTAAAATATACTACTCAAAGATTTCTAAGCACCAAGAGTATGTTTATACCTATTTTAGGTGGAATGTCAAATATTAGATTAATTTATGTTCTTATATATGACATAGTGATTTATTAACCTTATTAAGGAATTTGTTACCGATTGTAATGTGTTTTCATGTTTATTTGTTTTGATTGTAATGAAATTATGATTTAGACGGATATGGTGGGATTTGTGAAAAACTCATTTTGCCCCAATCTTTGCAAATAACTGATTTTGCCTATAAGCGAGTATGTGACCCCAGTGTGGTCAATGACACCTTGGCACTGTCGTTGGATACTCCCTATCAGGTTTTTTAGGACAGCTTGTGGGATGGTATTCCACTCGTCGACAAGGGCGGCCGCACCAAGCTCCATTGTGCTTCTTGGCTGAAATACAGACTTGTAGCTCTTTCCATACATGCTAAGTGGGGTTAAGATCTGGGGATCGGGCCGGCCAGTCCAAACGAGTAATATCCTGTCTTTCCAAGTACTCTTGGACGACATTGGCTGTATCGGGGACATTATCATCCATCAAAATGAACCCATTACTAATTGCAACAGCATACAACCTTACATTGGTGTTGAGGATGTCATCTCGATACCGCTGGGCAGTCAATGTGCCTCTGTCGAGGACAATGAGGTCGGCACGTCCATCCCAGACCAGACCAGACCATTATGGATCCGCCGCCATAGCAGTCATGTTCCGCAATGTTTGCTATATGGAACCGTTCCCTTCACCTTTGCCATGCTCTAACACGCCTATCTGTAGTCCAGGCAGTACATTGACTCGTCGGACAGGCCGCCAGTCCATCCTGCTCCAACCAACATGGTCCTTGGCCGAAACATATCGGAGCCGGAAGTGGTCACGTATGGTTCGTGTTGACACACGCACCCCTGAAGCATTTTGAAGGTCAGAACGAAGTTGGGTTGCAGTTGCAACATGGTTTCGTCGTGTCTGGATGACCAGAAAACGATCCTCAGCCTCTGCAATCACCCTTCTTCTGCCGCCACCATCATGTCTTCTTACAGGCTCGGATGATAACCGTTTGGTCCACACCAAACACTTCACCTACCACACGATGTCGAGCCCCCTGCTTCACAATACCAACTGCTCGCCACAACTTTGCTTCTGATAAATGCCTCCTAACATTTGCATTCGCCATTATTCAAACTTAAATGTTCAATATTTCAATGGAAAATGAAGAATGAACACCCTACACGTGTTGGTACGTGAATTCTGTGTCTAATAAAGACTATCAAAATACAGCGTCAACATGTTTGTACTACCTACTTACACGTGCAAATGGCATGCCATTCAAGGCTATGTGTATACAGGATACACTCTCGATACATCACTACACCATTTACAATGTAAATATCATAACATTATCTGATAAAAATTGCACGATGCTATGTGGAAAACTTGGTGCATAGCAAACTTTGAGTAGTTTAATTTGATTGTGACTCTAAAGTTTTATTATTAAAGTTTTCATGTTTTACAAATCATTCAGGTGAGATTTACAAGGCTGCTGGTTATGTTATAACCTTGACCTTGAGAGTAGGTGATGATGGTGATATTTTTTTCTAATATAACTAAACTATTTCAGTAGTTAAAAAATTATAAAGAGGACACAAAATCGTTGACTTTTACCATTTGACCTTTATGTGTTACCTAGACCTTGGGGGTAGCAACCTTTATGTTGCGCCCCACACATCATGTCATTATGGTGACAATTTTTGCAAAACTTATCAGTATTTTATAAGTTAAAGAGCGGACAGGAAAATGTGGACGTTATCATTTTACCCACACGTGGGACTTTGACCTTGGGGGTAGCAACCTGAATGTACCTTGAGAGTAGTGATATAGATGTTGCGCTCTACAGATTGTGTCATGGTGGAGATCATTTCTGCCAAGGAATTTTAAAACCTTTAAATTGTCAATAAATTATAGAGCAGATATGAAAAAATAGATGTTTTAACATTGAAACTTTGAGTGAGTTCTTGAGAATAGGAACTTGATTGATGTGCTCTGCACATGATTTCATAACGGTGATCATTTCTACCAAGTTATCTTATAAACATTGCAGTGGTTTAAATGTCATGGAGCGGACAAGAAATGTATATTTTAACCTTGACCTTGGGGGTAGCAACCCAATTATTGCGCTCTGCACATTGTCTCATTATGGTGATCATTTGTGCCAAGTTATATAAAAACATTTCAGCGGTTAAAAACCTATGAACGGACACGAAATGTAGACTTTTTAACACTTAACCTTTAGCGTGACCTTGACTTTGTGGGTAGGTACCCTATTATTGCTCTCTGCAAATTGTCTCAAAATGGTGATCACTTGTGCTAAATTATAAAAAAAAACAGCGGTTTAAGATTTATGGAGCGGACACAAGGGTGTTACGAACGGACAGATGGACGGACGTTCTAAGGGGACAGTAATAATGTGGCTACTCTATTGTTCTTTTTAGCCACCTAAAAGAAAATAGCCACATAAAAGCATTACGGAATGAATGACATCAAAGAGAATGAACAGTTACCTATTGTCTAGCCACATTATTACTGTCCCGTGAGATCGAACAGACGTATTGACGGACTGACAGACGGAGGTCATTCCGATAATCCCCTGCCGGCTTAATAGAAGGAGATTAAAACATCAATATTGTTGAAAGTGATAGTTGTCCCCGTAACAGCACATTTGTCAATGTATTCAATGTACATTGGTCAATAAAGGCTGTGAGAACAACAGTATAAAATCTTAATTTTCCTGTTTAATTTTGTGTAGTTTTGATCAAATTCCTTCAGTACACTGCATTTTCTCTCATTACTTTCTACAACATTGTTTAGTTTCAATATGATATTGATAGTTTAAACATCATACTTTCTCTCAATTATTTATATCACTGTGTAAAATTAGTAAAATCATCCCGTACAATAATTGATAATAAATATATTTCAATTTTCAACTTATGCAATTAAAATGATATAGTACATGTTGCCTTCGATTTAATGTTTTAGAATTAATCTAACAGTATAGAAAATAAGTAAGTATTTCTAATATTTAATCAAACTACACTTAAAAGTTATCCTATCTTCTAATGTTGCTTGCTTGTTCTTGCTGGATGAATGTCATTCTTCTTGTGTTTATTTTAAATTGCAAGTTTACATGACATGTTTGTGATTACCCATGTTTACCTTTTCAACATCGCCAATTCCTTCTGTGTCAATTAGCATCAGAACCTCATCTTTTCGTTCTGGATGTTCCAAACACCACACCCACAACCCTTTTGTCGTTGCGGCAGTTGTATTTCCAAGAGGAAATCCTTTCGGTTATTTTTATGAAACATAGTTATAATGGTATTGCAATTGTTTTTACGTTTTTTTATTGTTTTTTTTTTTGACAACAGTTTTAAAATTGTGGCTGTTTTGTGGTTTATTTTTTTAAGGATATTTGTGTTATACAAAAAACATATATCGCATGTATTATTTTTGTGTACGTGTAATGTTTGATTGCACGCAAACGATGTGCGATCATTTGTTTCACATTCACTTATAAAGCAAAATCTGAACTTATCCGCAATAATTAAATATGATTCTGATATAACGGATGATATGTATGATATATTTAACAAAATTATGGATCATGTGTAAAAGTGTGACAGATATAATTGATATTAGCTATCATTCTAATTGCAACAAGTGAAATTAATATACCTCGTTTAACGCCAGCCAACATATTCATAAGGTAGGATTTTCCGGTCCTGTACGGCCCTGCTATTGCAATGATATTAACAGTGTCCTCGATCGTCGATATTTCTTCCATAACGCTTTCAACTATTGACAATACATTGTCATCATTCCGTACCAAACAGAGAGGTTTTTGAAATACTCTTAAGTGCCCATATTTTGAACTCTATAATTTGCCAAAAATAATATATATATCACTAATAAACCTTATTCATTAAAAATGGATGACATGCCTTTAAATCAAAATAATTAACGTCAGTCTATTTTGTTATTGATATGATATACATGAAATATCACTTTTTTCTAGCGTTTCTTATTTTAACCTGTATGTTTGTAGCGATGTAAGCAACTCTTAAAAATATAAATGTGATACCAAAATCTCACCGTCGTCTGCTTTTCATACCCATCCTTGAAATATTTCCGTTTAAATTATTTTATAGACTATTATTCCATAAATAATGCTAACAAAATGTATATTTTTAAAATTAATGTGTACAAAGTATATGCATAATTAATATATCTCTACTAAAGAAAAATTAAAAATCAATACGACAGTGTTGCGGAATACATAGTTTGTTTCTGTCTTTCTATTTTTCTGTATTTACGCCAATTTAACACATTATTTTGGTTGATCTACTTAACCGCCTTTTCTCATATTTTCAACTTCTCCGCAAGTGACCAACTACTCATCACACATGATAGGTAAGAGACAATTATTATTATACTCAATGTACGAAATCGGTTGTCACAGAGAAATTCGCCTTGCCCCAATATCGAACTATTGACCCTAAATTCGATGCTGTTCCAGTTATGCTAAGCGGAGCACAAAATACAGAGTAAATTTGTTTAGGTTTGTTAACTTCTCTTTCAGGTCTTTTTATAAATCATTTACATCAACATTACCTTTGTATTTAGGCTTTAGTCATTAGATACATACTTTTTTCAAATGCTTTGTTTCCATCTCTGGATTTGAAGTTCTTTTCGAATCTCTTGCTAATTTAAAACGGTCTTCAACATCAGACTGCAAGCGTTGAACACGTTTTTCATTCTAAGTATATTGGGTATAATCAAAGTACAATATATTTGTCTACATATTAAATAATTGGTTTATTGTTCTTACTATTTTAATAAAAGAATAACCAAAACTATTGTGTATTACTTTTCTTAACTTAACATAGCATTTACTTACATTACTTCACATGACTGCTTCATTAACATTTGATTACTAATTAGAAGTACTTTCGGGATCAATAAAAGATCTTTTGTTGGATGTAACAATGATGTAAAAGGACTGTGATTATTTCTGATAAACTTAAAATAAGACTCCAAAATGATTATATCAAGAAGAGTCTTCGATAGAAAACAGTATAAAGCTTTTTTGCTGCCAAATTATTTCAATTTACATGTTAAATACAGGGGCGTCCGTGGCCGAGTGGATAATGTCGTTGGCTTCAAACCACTTGCCCCTCACCGCTTAGGGTTCGAATCCCGACAGACTTTGGATTCTTTCATGTGAGGACGCTATCCAGCTAGCTTACGGAACGTCGGTGGTTCTACTCAGGTGCCCGTTCATGCCTGAAATAAGTCACGTAAGGGCACCTGAGGTCTTCCTCCGCCAGTAAAGATGGAACGTCTCCAAATGACCTATACTGTGTTGGTGTGATGTAAAACTCAATCAAACAAAAAACAACAAGTTATATATATATATATATATGTTTATAAGAATTTTCTAGGATAAACATTTTCATTGTATAATGAGATTCATTTAAATGGTTGATATCTATATATATTTAACAGGTTTCAAATATTGTGTTTAATGTTAAAATATCAATCTACGTTCAAACAAGTCAGATTAAATATGTGAAAATCCCTATATATGAAATATCATCCAAATAGTATGTGAAGTAACAACTTCCTGTTATATTTACTTTTCAAACACCTAAGTTAACTAACTGGTTGGTAAGTACTTTTTACGTGTTTCAATCATACCGGTTATGATTAAAAATGAATACATGTAGCTAAACCTTACAAATGCAAAATTTTAACATAAGGTTTTTGTACGAACATGTACTCCTGTAAATATTTGACTAAACCTTTTAACACAAACGAATAAATAAAGGTTATTATTTAAATAACTTATGTTTGGAATCATGTATTCAAAGATGAATTTCTATGTTTATGTTTGACGCTAACTCTTATTATATGCAGCAAGAAATACCTTTGGTGTTGCACGACTTTTTTCGAACATCGCCACCCTTTCTTTCACACACATCATCTCATCTGAAGTATTGTTGTAGTCCTCCTTACTCATCTGTTGGGATAAAATAATGCTAACGGTTCTTTATCTATGACTTTCTGATGAGCAATTATTTTATTCTTATTGTTTAAAAATATGTGGCAGTACTGATAATGTTGGATTAGACTACTATAATACTCGCAGAATATAATAACAACAACTTTTCGCATAAGTTTGTTATTTCAAAATAGATTTTTTTTTTAATATTATATAGTTGTATTATAACTTTACACATGGTTATGATACAATTTATAAAAAATACATACAGTTTTCATACATTTCTTTCTTTACAGCCTTAACTTTTATATCTTTCACACTCTGTTTTTAGCTGGGCCAGAACGTATCTACTATAATCTAGATTTACTTATTTTTATAATGCAATATCATGTGACAATATTTTATAGTCACAGTAAAGTTACCACTTTTCATTTAACAGTATAAAAACAGTTCTTACATGAAAAATAACTTTTTTGTAACGTCAAAACTTCAATCTGTTATGTCACACGTTTTACAGTGACAAAACTCATTGGTCCATCAGCACTTGATTACTTGACGATGAACATGTAAAATATCTATACCGATAAGCAATTTACCATGACTTAATTAGCCGGTATTTGTCTTTGTAATCAGTTTTATGAAAAATTCTCACTCGAACATGTGTTTACATTCTAAAATTCACCATTACTCCGTATCGTACCATTTCACCTCGCTTAAATAAGAATCGCACCTCTATATGTTCGACCCCCTGATGAGGTTTGCAAACTTGATAGATATGTTCTTCAAATGCCATTTAATGCAAAGGAAGCATTACCATTTTTTCCTGGAGTTAAATGATTTATTTCACATTACTAATAGTATTATTGCTTAACATTGCTTTGTTGTTTGCCAGTGTCTCTATTAGCGCCAAAAGTCACAAATATGCTTCCTGTATAAGGAAATACAATAAATATTGTTAACTGGACATACTGTAGTTTGTGAAAGTTTTAATTATGTAATTGACTTTAGTTATGCCTTTCCTCTTGTCATCCGGATTGATTGAATCGTCCTGCAAACCCTACAATTAAATATGAACCATGGCTTCACTGACAAAATGACGATCACTAGTGAATCGTCAAGCAACACTCTACAATTTTGTATGAACCGAGGCTTCATTGACATAAAGACATCACGATCCTTAACATTCGTTGTCATCTGATATGTAAAGTTACTTAACAGGCTTACTTTTCGACACATTCTCAAACTATCAAAATATGGTCAGTCCTAATCATTTTTATATCAAAAGCTCTTATTCTATTTTAGAACAGCTACAATCATCCTTATTTGATTTTTATTTGTGTTTTATTAAGGATTAAATAATAAAACACCAAAAAATGAACAGCTATGCAAGTAAATGTGGTGTTAAAATTTTTTGTAAATAACGTTTAAGTACATGTACATGGAATTAAATACCTTTTCGAACCTAGCCCGTCTCTCTTTAAAAGACATTGTCTCATCCGGATTATCTTTGGATTCATCCATTCTCAATAATTCTGGCTAAAATGTTTTTGTATTTTGTTTTTAAACTCAAGTCCAATTTTTTTAAAATAAAATAAATCCAAGTATCAATCCTAAAATATTAATATCGAATAGAAAAAACACATTGGCCTGAAATTTAACAAATAATTTAGCCTCTAGATAGATCAAGTCATTAAATTTATTCCTTTATGCTTAAATCATTGAAATTATGTTTTTCTATTCGTTCCCTTCAGACGTTATACGAAGGTTGTCCCAAAAGTTCGCGGCAAATCTTATATCGACGGTTTATTTTAACGCCAGTACATAATAGTTCACACGTATCACCTATATATTTATTAATTACATGTTAACCATTCCTCTCACTGCGTATTCCATTATTAACATTTAATTTGCTTCATGTTGGCTATAACATTGTATAATGCTAAATAAAATTAATGTTATGTTATATATTTATTACTATCGTGTTAAGAAAAATAGAAAAACACTTTTGTAAAGTATGATTAAAGGTCTGTATTTTCTGTTTTTTTATTATTTTTTTTTTATGCGGGGGGGGGGGGGGGGAAGGGGGGTTATCCATAAAAACGAGTGCATGTCCTTAAAAGTTCACTACTTCTCCCTGTTATAGTAGAAATGGACTATGCTGATGAAATTTAACATTGAATTAAACGTCTACTAAAACTTTGTTTTATTTAGAAGGAAATAATTCTGAAGGATTGAAATAGAAAATGGTAATTTTTTTGCTCTTTTAATAAATTTATTGAAAATATTGCATTACAAATTGATCCACCCTCGTGTACGGGGTTGGCAAATTTAACGACATGTGAAATAAAGCTAGCTACTGGAGTGTTTGTATATTAAAGAATAACCTTCGATCGTGCTTGAATGTAAAATTTTAGAAAAGAAACTATTTACACGTTATAAAATATATTTTTCCAAATGCAAAGAGACATTTGTAAGAGATAAGGTCTAAAATGTAGTATTATAATTGACACATTATAGCAATTTAGAATTTCTACGTTTTTCTATTGTATACAATTGTTATTGGTTATTCAAACCAAACAAATCGTTGCCTTTCATTCCTCTACATTTCATGTTCAATTTGATTTTTTTCTTCAAAACTCTCTTACGAATAGTAAACGAATTTTTTTTTTGCTTTTCCTTCAAAAAAAAGTGGCCAACTTCTGTTCAAACTTCCTCCACCAGTAAAGCTTGCAAGTCGCAATTTTGATCCGACGAAAAGGCTTATTATACTATTATAACTAGTATTAGATATTGATGAACTCTATTTTATTTTATTTCAATCGTCTCTATTAGTGCAAAATAAGCTATTCGAGTTTTAGTGAATGCCCTATCAAACGAGACTGCTTGTTTTATATTTCAAAACAGTACGATATATCAAAACAGTACAATATATCAAAACAGTACAATATATCAAAACAGTACGGAATCAAGACAATATATTTAATTTGTTTCATATGCCATTTTTAAAAAATGGATAGGCTAAATTATGCGATACATTTAAAATATTAAATAGAGGATATTTGTTTGTTTGTGTGTAAGATGAAATTTTATTTCATCGAGTGGGCTTTAAAAACAGTATTCTCACGAGTGGCGAAGCCACGAGTGAGAATACTGTTTTTAAAGTTCACGAGATGAAATAAAATTACATCTTACACAACAAACAGACAAATTTTCTTTTTATTTTATGCTTAAAAACAAGTTAAAACGAAATTTCCATAATTTTAACGTTAATATTAAAACTGTTTCCCCCATTGAGAGCCCCATTTATTCGGAATTTCTCATTAAAAAAAAGAAGTCTTGAGCTGAAAAATAAGTCCGCCAATCAACATTAAATGACGGTGATATTTATTAATTTTATTAAAAAAATATGAATGATCGCTTGTTTTGTAATAAAAACAAACAATTCTTGTAGGAGAAAAAGTCCAACCATCCATCCATATTTCTGTTACTTAGTGCGAATTTATATTAGACCTGGCTTTGTAAATTGTAAGCGGCAGCCATTTTTTAAAGTTGTGTATTTCATGGGAGGAAAATAATTGTGTAAGATTCAGAGGGATATAATTTGGATTTGTTAGTCATACACATTTTTAAAAGAAAGAAAACTTATTTGAGGATTGTAACAGACAAAAAATAAGTGTTGACAGATGTGAAAACATTCAGAAAAGGAGCTAGGAAAATGGAAAACTTGGAAACCTGCTCAAGAACGCTGGGTTGATTTAACTTATTCTTCGAGTTATGGCTGTCAATGCTTTCAATTTTTCATAAAGCATACGGCAGTTATTGCTCGTAGGATACTTTAATATGCCCAAATGTCATCAAGAGCAGTTTTGCATGGGGAAGGAATGTATTTTTGAGACTGTCAAAATGAAACAAAAAAACGAAATTTGGTGATTGGAATTTCATGAATTTGAATGAATAGAAGTAAGTTTTCTTCTTTTTATTACTTTTGACATTTAAGTTATTAATCAATTTCAGTTTTGCTTTTTCTTTAAACAGCCTGACATTGTCAGAATTGTCAGCAAAAATAAAATTGAGGTACCACATGGGGAAAATCTTAAAAAAGTAGTTTCGTCATTGAAAAGAGTGAAATTATATTTTGATAATTTTCACTGTGAAATTACCAGATATAATTTTCACGGATAAATCAGTAATCCACTGAAAAGCATAAAATAATATAATCTATTATCATAAATCCAACTTACTTACAATGTTATTTAACAACGGTAAATTGGATATGATATCAAAACGAAACTACCGCTAATATATTTTAAAAACAGTTCGTTCTCAGACACTTTTTTATTGGTTTATGAGAAGGGAAAAATGGGACTCCAGAAGGAATTAAGTTTACCTGTCATTTTGTTTTCTGTTCCTAACAATGTTATTTACTTTTTTAATTTAAGAGAAAACTTATTTAGATATTGAAAAAATAAATAACAGGTTAACCTCATTCCATTTGGATTCGATATATATTTCCCTTTCATAATGAATGTGAACGAACTGTTATGTATTGTTTTTGTTGTGCGTGCGTGCGCGTTCGTGTGTGTAAAATCATCATTTCGATTCTCTTTAATGCATACGCAGTGAAATCTTTGAAGCGTTACGAAGCGCTTGCAACTGAGACGAATATTTTGTCGTAAGCTTAATTAATGAACAAAAAACCCAGCTCGAATTCGTTATTCCTTCATTATCAGTATCAATGTTTTTGAAAACATTAGTTGAGTTTGGGCCTTTTTACGTCGAATTTCAGGATCATTTAAACATATTTAATTGAACCTGTACTATTATCAATTCATAATTATCAGACTCTGTCTTTTTTGTACGTTTATAGATGCCCTCTTTGCCAAATTTACTGAAGCGAAACAAAAACTCAGTGGAATCCCTTTAATTATATAAATATTTAATTATCTAAATCTATCTCATTAAATTATTTATCCCCATTTTTATAAAAAATATTTTGGATAAGATAAATGTAAGAAATTCTGTGCACAAAACAAATTGGAAATCGAGTGGGATAGGGTGAATGGGGCACATATAATGAAACATTATCATAGAAAGAGTCTGATGAGTTGTTATAATTGCCTGACATGAAGCATTTGATAAAAAATAACAAAACGTTATTTATAAACTGCATCTCCATAGAAAACAGGCCACAAAAGAAAAAAAGTTTGAATAACTTTTAAATACGGACATCTGAATTACAATCGTAGAATTGTTCAGCTTCAGGAGTACCATAATACGGTTTTACGACACCATCTTAAATATTGTAACCGTCGCACGAATTACACTTCACCCGACATCCAGAATGAGTTAGTGTTCCATATGGCGAGATTATCAGTAAAAGCATTGTGGAGGCATGTAACGCCATCGACAATGGAGCAAATGGCTACTGTAACTTTATATTGAGTTCCTTTGTAAATTTATGTGTTCGTTTAAACATATGCGTTTTTGTATCTCTTCACGTTTCAACACATTTATAGACCTAAAATAAATATGATTTGGACATGGTCAACGTCATTATAAACATACAAAATAACATATTATGAAAAAATCACAGTACGTTGCTTGTACTCCAAGTACAGTTACTTTATAACCTTACGTAACCAAGTTATCTGCTTCATTCAAACATAGCAAAAAAATGCACGAAATGTTTAACTTTCGATTCAGGCGCGTCAATGAAAAAAAAAACAACAACAAAAAACGTGTTTACTGTCATTTAAGTACAATAGATATATTCGTGTGGGATCATTATTAAATTTGATTGAACTCGTAAAATAAATACTATTGTGCTCGCGATATAATTTTATTTAACTCTACACTGTATTTGTTTACACAAATTTGATTGTGATTTCTTTTGTGATAAAAAGAGACTGACATTAGTTGTCATTACTTAAAAAATCTTAAACTTGTTATAGGTTCGCTTTATGATGTTTTCATTAACTCGTTTTACAAAATTCTATAATCATATGACAACTCATGTAAGATCAAAAACATGAACATACTATCGTTACTGTGATAAAACAATGATTTTCAAAAATATCCACTCACTTTTGTTTTATTGTACCGGCCTTTTGTATAGACATCTCTCTTATCAATTAAAAAAATATTCAATAACGAGAATTTACTGCTTAACCACAATGGAATCAAAATGCATAGTTGATGTATGCTTATTGTGATTGAATATACTATATAACACACTGAGAAATGAGAAAATAACAAAATTTTAACGAAAACGAAGTGCGCTTCTCTATGTGTGTTTAATACTGCAATAATATCGGACAAAAATAATTTCAAACACTAAAGACTTTTTTATTGAAGGTCAGTAGTGGTAATCTGACTGTCAAGATTAACCAGGCATAAAGTATGCTTTTAAAATGTTTCTAGTATACATGTGATTTTTTTATCATCGGTTTTTAAATATACAACAAGACCTGTTGAAGTCATAAAATATATGAAGCTAAGGGAGACAATTCTTCAGTAAACAGTAAATTGCTGTAATAAAGTGTTTGCGGTGTTGTCCCCCTTAGACGTAAGTCAGTCCAACTGATTTTAATAGATAAATAAATCTACATGTATAGAAAAATAAAATTATTAACACTTTGTGTGTGTTCAGATTTGTCTACTCTCGTCACCGGAAAATTATTACATGGGCGAGTGTAACACATGTATATACTGTAACCGGATATATTTATGTAGGCCAGTAGTCAAATTTTTAGAGCTCCTTTTTGACAAAGATATAAATTCTTCTAAATTCCATTTTGGACCTTGTTTTGTTTTATTTTCTCTTCTGTTTGTTTGTGTGTTTGTGTTTACTGTTGTTGTTTGTTTTGTTTTTTTTTGCTTTTTTTTTGTGGGGGATTGTTGTTGTTTTGTTGTTTGTTATTTGTTTCTTGTTTGTAGTTGTTGTCGTTTTCTTTTGTTTTTAGTGAATACTAAGGAAAACAGACTTATTAATTCTATGATATGATATAAATATCTAATATTTTGAATTATGTTTAATGTAAAGTAATTTTCTGGTATTTTCATTATATCCTTTGCCTAACTGTATAATAGCAAAGTCGTACAAGATATATATAACACGATAACGAGTATATCATACAATTTTGTACAGATCTAAAACCGGATTTTAAAAACGAAAACATTTTGAAATCAAGTTCTGAGCAGTATTTATGAGAATCAACGACGTGATGTATTTAAGATATCAAATGAGAGGTTGACCTTTATGTGTGAGCTTGAAAATTAAAACAAATAAAAGGAAAAGAAGAAGTGTCTGACTTTGCATTATGTTAAAAGATTTACAATTTTCTTGCGCTCTCCTATTAATTACACTTTCATGTCATCTTAACATTTTGTCTGATAATTTTAAAATTCATGTCGTCTTGCTGTGTTGTCATATTTATATAATACGGAGCTATATAATCACTCCACGGTAAAATCGTATAGCTTCAATGTACAAAATGTAAGAAACGAATTAAATGACTGTTATTTCATTATCTTTGTGTCTTGTGTCTGATTACTGGTATGATAAATTACTAATAACAGAAACCTGGCAAACACTAGTGTACATATTAGACGATATAACTGTTTTTAATGTCTTAGAGCAAAATTAAACAATATGGGCAAAACGTGAAAGTGGGGGCATTGTTATATATTACAAAGAAATGTATGAAAATGCCCTTTGTATCTTGTAATACATATAAGACTATATAAAATTTGCAAATGCTGATAGAGATTATAATTCTTCGTATGTTTCATTCCACTAGAAAAATCACTTATATACAGACATGTTAATTCATTTTTTGTTCCAATTCTACCGATATTTGAAAATGTAGGAACATTGGTGGCGTATATATCTTAGGTGACCTGAATTCAAGCACCGTTGAACTGCCTGATTGTAAGTATTGTCTTTATTTTCATTATTTGATTGATCTATTTTTATGTATTTTATTTAATTATTTATTATTTTTTATCTTTAAGGTCTTATGACATTTGTAATCGCATTATGACACTTCCTATTAAATGCTAGTGGAACAAATTGTTCGGGATTGGTGTGGTTACAATATGGGGTTTCACGGGACCCATGTTGTGGTTACGCCATGGAGCCTTGTCACTTCATTTGTGTTTTTGGTCAGGAATTTTCATGGTGCGGTTGCATTATGTTATTAGTATTTTATCTCTCTCTAGTCTCTCATATCTATAAGTCATACATAAGTATCTCTAGTCTAATTTTTGTATTAATCATGCAAATTAGTTTGTCTACAAGCTTTATTTACACATTTGTATTACTTTGTTGTTAATGCTCATTTGTTTGTAAAATTTGCTGTTCATAACACTGATGCCCATATGGGCCTAGTTGAAAAATATAACTTGAAACGTACCTTGACAATTATATTAACTTGCCAGAATTTGTTGGTCAGACTCCGAAATTAAATTTGATATCGCGTGAAAATTATGGTTACATTTCAATCCTTTTGGGATTAAACTATTGATATTCTGAAAAGTAAATAACTTGCATATAGTAAACGTGCGTCTTACTTCAGGTTTCACTGTATTCAAAATAGTAAATCTGTGTCAAGTATTGTTCATTATTTGATTACGAATTACAATTATTTAAACATGTAGGTAATACATGTGCATAAGATATGAATGGATATTATGACACTTGTCCTATAGATTTTCTACTATACTTTAGGGATGCGAAAGCATACGTCAAATTATGCAGATTTTGTGGAATTAGATAGATTTTCATTACCTGTTAAAGCTGAAGAAAGAACAAAGATGTCTTCTTTGATAGCCTTTTCCCTCATAGTCCTTTTTAAAGCGCTTTCCTGCAGTCCCCCTTTGATAGCCTTTTCCCTAAAGGTCTTTCTTTAAAGCGCTTTCCTACAGTCCTACGTTGATTGCCCCTTCATACAGTCCTTTCTTTAAAGAGCTTAACTACAGTCCCGCTTTGATAGCCTTTTCCTTACAGCTCTTTTAAAAGCGCTTACCTACAGTCTCCCATCGATGGCCTTTTCCTTCAGTCCTTTCTTTAAAGCGCTTTGCTACATACCCCTGCTAATAGCCTTTTTACTACAGTCCTTTCTTTAAAGCGCTTTAATTCCTACACACCCCTTTGATAGTCTCTTCCTTACAGTCCTTTTTATAGCGCTTTCCTACGGTCAAACGTTGATTGCCTTTTCCTACAGTCCTTTTTAAAGCGCTTTCATACAGTCCCTCTTTGATTGCCTTTTCCTACAGTCCTTTTTAAAAGCGCTTTACTACAGTCCCTCTTTGATAGCCTTTTCCTTATAGACTCTCTTTATTTTTATATAATTAAAGCGCTTTCCTATTTTCCTACTGTCCCTCTTTGATAGCCTTTTCCTTAAAGTCCTTTTTAAAGCACTTTCCTACAGTTCCCCTCCTAAAGGTCTTTCTTTAAAGCGCTTTCCTACTGATCCTATTTGATAGCCTTTTCCTTATAGTCCTTTTTAAAGCGCTTTCCTACAGCCCCCTTTGATAGCCTGTTCCTAAAGGTCTTTCTTTAAAGCGCTTTCCTACAGTCCTACGTTGATTGCCCCTTCATACAGTCCTTTCTTTAAAGAGCTTTACTACAGTCCCGCTTTGATTGCCTTTTCCTACAGTCCTTTTTAAGCTCTTATCTACAGACCCCCATTTGAAAGTTTTCTTCCAGTTAAAGTCTTTTTTCGAAAAGCTTTCCTACAGGCTCTCTTTGATAGCCTTTTCCTACAGTTATTTCTTTAAAGCACTTTCCTACAGTCCCCCTTGATAGCCCTTTTTACAGTCCTTTTTAAAGCAGTTTTCGACAGACCCCCTTTGATAAGATTTCCCTAAGTTCTTTCTTTAAAGCGCTTTGCTACAAACGACCTTTGAGAGCCTTTTCCCTACAGTCGTTTCTTTAAAGCGCTTTCCTACAGTACCCCTTTGATTGCCTATTCCTTACAGTCCTTGCTTTAAAGCGCTTTCCTACAGCACCCTTTTGAAAGCCTTTTCCTACAGTCCTTTTTTAAAGCGCTTTCCGACAGTCCCCCTTTGATAGCATTTTCCTTGCAGTCCTTCTTTAAAGCGCTTTCATATAGACCCCTTTTGATGGTTTTTTTCGTCTACAGTCCTTTTTAAAGCGTTTTCCTATAGTACTTCTATGATAGCCTTTTCTTAAGTCCTTTCTTTAAAGCACTTTCCTACAGTCCCCCTTTGTCAGTTCTTGCTTGGAGTCCCCCTTTGATAGCATTTTTCTTACAGTCCTTTTTAAAGCGCTTTTTTACAGCCATTCCTAATTGTCCTTTCTTTAAAGTGCTATGCTACAAATGCCCTTTGATAACCTTTTCCTACACTCTTTGATAGTTTTTTTACAGTTCTTTCTTTAAATCCCTTTTCTCAGTGACCTTTATATATCTTATTTTCTACATTCTATTTTTCATAAACTTTGTCTACAGTACTCTCTAAAAAAACTTTATATAGCAATTTTTCTTCCCTTAAATTTCGTTCTTTCTTAAAAATTCACCTCTTAAAAACTTTTTCCTACTGTCATCTCTATTTTATTTCATCATGAAAGATATAGATGTTTATAACTACTCTTTATTTGACATCCCCTCGCTTGCTACGCCTCTGTGTCTCAAAAACGCTTTATCTCAATGCACGTAGTTATCAGTAATATAACTAACTCAGAAGTTAATCTGTCGCTGTTACAGAGAGACGTTTGTCGATACTCGTGCAACATTTCAATCTCCGACCAAAAAAAATGGCACTTGTAGGAAAATGGGAGTATGTTTCGGCGGACAACTTGGACGGCTATATGGAGGCTGCAGGTAGGAATCTTATTGTTGAAACAAATATTGTTGTTGTTTTTTATTCTTTTAAATTACACTCACTGCCAGTTGTTCAAAATTAAAAAATTAAAAATCTTATGATAAAAATCAAAATATTTTTATTTTAATAAAGATAAATTGTATGAAATTATATTTTAATATAGTTTGTTAATTAAACTTATTGATATAATTACTAAAGTTCAAATTGTAAAATTATTTAATTTTTAAGTAGTCTAGGGGTGGTTTAAGATGTTCAGTTTCAAATATTGTCAGTTTCGAAATTTGTTTGAAAATTTGTATACATTGGAATTAAACCCATTTTTTGTCACTGAAGATTTAATGGTCCAAGCCATTTTTGTGTGATTAAATGACAGTGTGAAATGACCGTATATATACATGAATTAATCTTCATATCTGGGAGAGAATATGTAGCCATGTTATATAATGTTTCTCTTATGATATTGAATAATTACCAATACCTAGTGAAAAAACTAGGATAAAACTAATGAATGTATGAAACATTTCTGTGCTTTCATATTAAATCGTGGCAAATACATATAAACTTCAATTTCTTTTACGAAAAGTGTTTGCATCTATTTGTAATGTACCTGTGTAGGATCAAGCAGGGCTTAAGATGTTATTTCACTACTTTCCGGTTAATATGAACAATGTATCTGCTCTTTCATATCATAGCAGTATAAATTTTCACCTTCGGCAAAAGCATGTTCGCTATAAGTGTTAGTTCGATATAGCCGTGTTCGTTGAAACATAAATTACGCGTAGAGATTTTGCAAATCATTTATACTGTAAAGTATGAGATGATAAAGAAACTGAATATTTCAATGAAAGATATGTTCATGTATGATATGATAAAGATATGGTATATTCACATGGTACAGGACGGTGTTATCAACGGGGATTGGTTTGATCCCCATCTTCATACAAACGTGATTGAGAACAATCCCTCTGTTATACTCTAAATACTCTATCTATATATTCAAAGGTACTTAATTTTATTCAAATAAAAAACATGTTTTATCAACGAGCCATGTTTTATCAGAATATTACGATTAGTTTACTATTAAGCTTGTCAAATCTGAACTATTTACTTTCTTTTTCTTACGAACTTTGAATGCTAAAGCAAATCAAATCGAACTGTATGTTATCACCAAAACGTAACTTTATTAAAATGTATGAATACTAGTCTTAAAGAGCACGTGTTTGAAAGTAGTTCTTGCAGTAGATAACGTTTTCAGGTTTGTACATGAGATCGTTTGTCAATTTAGCGTTTGGGCATGAATGAAAACATTTTACAAGTGTCCGCACTTGATATACTTGTCTAATGGGTTTTTATCGATTAAATTTCATTCATTTATTTGAAAAAGGAAAAACAAGGTTAACATTGACAATATGCCTTAGAGAGTAAAGAATTCCCTTTGCATGGTTACAGACGGCGTCTTAATGCTAACTGTTATAGTAATATAGTAAACTTAACTCGTGTGAAATTCTGGGATCTCTCGTAAATAAATATAACTACAATGTACTTCTAATTCAATATATTTCTGTGTGGCCGGCCAAAAAATATATATATAAAAGAAATAAAAAAAATATTTGCTGACAACAGCTATTTTACGAACTTAAGCGTCTGGGTCACACCCGGGGTATCTGATGATGAAATGATTGCACACAACGCGTCGAAAAGAGATAACGCTGCAAGTTAGACAGTTTACGTGACCTTGAATGAATTATAAACTGGGTATTTCTTGTGACTAACCCGTTTATATGACCGGATATGTTATCACTGGCATTATCAGAAGAACTGTAAAATAAAGTTATTTTCCCGCTCAGATCAATTGCATGCATTAATATTTGCTCCGATGTGAACGATAAATACAAAATGTCAGACAGTCGTATCTTCATATATACAAGTTCAGAGAAAAGATTCAAAACCACAAATATTGTAGTAATGTGACTTCTAAGTGACACTATTATTTTACTCCGGAAAGTAATCATAATATGCATCCGTGAGAAACTAGACAACGACATTGTCGTCTGAAAACGTTATCTTACTTGTTCATTCGCTATAGTAGGCCTACTATATAGAGATTTTTTTTTGCGCTCTTAATAATAGTAATAATAATAATAATAATAATAATAATGATGATGATGATGATTATAATAATAATAGGGTTAGGCTACTTAAAGTCAGCAAGAGTTTGATTTCACATCTCTCTATTCAGAGAAATGTTCATCGCAAGTCTCTTTATTATCGGACTAATTAACAGAGCCATTCATCATTGAAATGACCGGAATTCACAAGTATGTAAAAACATGCACCGGGCAAAAGATTCATACTTTAATCATGATTTTTCGGCAGTTTCCGTTAGTTTTACAATAAAGACGTTTTTATGCCCCCGAGGGCATAATATAATCGCTCTGTCCGTCTGTCCCACTTCATTCATGTCCGGACTGTATCTTTGACATACATTGAGGGATTTTGAAATAACTTGCACAAATGTCTACCACATCAAGACGATGTGTCGCGTCCAAGAACCACGTCCCTACCTCAAAGGTCAAGGTCACACTATCATTTTGAAGTTTCACATTATCGCAAATAAGAGTAAATAGGTACACACAATCGTGTCCGGTGTGTAACTTTTGCCATGCATGGAAGAATTTTAGAATAACTTTGCATAAATGTCTACAACATCAAGACGATGTGTCGCGTCCAATAAGCACGTCCCTAATTCAAAGGTCAAGGTCACACTACCATTTTGAAGTTCACTTTATCACAATTAGAGTTTTTAGGTACACACATTCGTGTCCGGGCTGTAACTTTGTCATGCATTGAAGCATAAATGTCTACCACATCAAGACGACATGTCGCGACAAAGACCCATGTCCCTACCTTTAAGGTCAAGGTCACAATTATAGTTTGAACGTACTCATTCGAGAAGAGTTTGAAGATATACATTCATGTCCAGACTGTAACTTTGTCATGCATGGAAGGATTTTAAAATAACTTGGCCACACCAAGACAATGTGTCGCGGCTAAAAAAGGCTCATGTCCGTCTGTTCGTGTGTCCCAACTTACACAACAATCATATCTAGACTGTAACTTTGTCATGCATTGAGGGATTTTGAAATAATTTGGCACAAATGTCTATCTCATAACATTTTGTCGCGTCCAGGAACAACGTCCCTTCTTCAAAGGTCAAGGTCACACTTGTATTCAAAGGTCAAGGTCACGCTTGTATTTTGAAGGTTCATGCTATCACAATTAGAGATTTCAGGTACAATAATACAAAGAACAATATTTAGCAATTAGTTACTTTCATTCTGTTTTCTTTTCATAATACCTGCATGCTTAAGAAACCTTTTCGGGGGCATTCGTCACTTGGATGACAGCTCTTGTTGCCTATTATCATTGTACAACGGAGAGGATCGAAAAAGTACCATTTGGTCGTTCTTATTGAAACTAACAGAATTTTTCAATGAAGTTATCTAAAGTTTGACTTTAAACAAACTTGTACTTTGCTATCACGTGTATCTAAAATGTTGAGAAGTTGTCCTTTGTAGTCAAACCACCATGATTATAATTTGATCAATGTTTCATTATCTGTGATAAGATACTCTATCTGCCACTCAAACACACCTTTCATTGATAAATGTTTATTTTTAAAAACCAATTTATCTCTACCATGTTTAATAGGTTAGAATGTCATCGATTGTTTTGTTAATTTTTATCAAATTTAAAGATAATTTGCAAAATTTCCGTCACATGGCGAGGGTAAATCCCAGATTAGAATCACGCGGTACTTTGTCAGTTGCTGTCAAATTCGTCATTGGACATATTTTTTTCCCTATTAATTTGTATGCAGTGCAGGGTAATATAAATTTAAAACATTTAATTGTCAGAATGAAAAATATGTAAAAAAAACTTTTTATACACATAGACCTCTCCTAGTATTGGCCAGTGACCTCACGTAGGTCTTGATAAATTTGATATCAAAAATTAAATATTGGTCTCCAAAAAGTATTGCAACTTTTTCCCGGTGCTTTTTTCTGTGGCTTTTTTATTATAATCGTAGTTTAATAATTGTTGTAATAGGCAGTGCACATATTTACTTCATTGGAACCTCTCGCCAATTACCAAAGTACAAAGTATATAACAGAAAGGGTAAAATTCTGATTGTGCTTAAACCAAATACAAATAGATCAATGTACGCGTTATGATAATAGAATAATTGATATATAACCGAGATCAGACCTTCAGTACTTGAAAAGCAAAGTTCGCCGGCAGGATAATAAACCCATTGCCTATTATAAGAACTAATTTGTTATAGTAAGCCGAAATTATCTCGACCTTGGCTTCCTAATGTTTACATTTCCTGCAAATGATACATTCGTTTTCACTCATTTAGATAATCTGGCCCAGTGTGGAAGTTTATTCATTTTGACTAACTGCACAGCAATTCATTTACGTGGTTTTGCATACGCATAATCGGCAAACATTTTTACTGTACAATGTGAACAAATACATGTAAATGGAAACATTCACCATAATAACGAAAACAGTCACAAAACAAACAAGAAATTTATCGGAGGATATGAAACAATACATTATTTACTCGGCCTTATGTATGATACTAGTATTATATATATCTACGGTCAGTGTGACCGAGCACACAATTACTTTAATTATTACGATGTTTATACAGCTACCTGGGTCATTGCCTTAAATTAATTAACTGAGCGACTATGTGTCAAGAAGAGGCCAGTCTTCCTAATACATGTATATATCAGTAGCGGATCTTGTTATTCAAGTATATGAGGCGAGGTAAAATGGTCAAGAATTCATTGCATTTCAAAAATAAATACAAGGATCTCAGTATATGAAACTAAATATTCTTAAAATGAATTTGCATCTCGAATTTTCTTTACTAAAATTGGCATGAGAACTGTTCTGTTCCTGTTATTTACCCCCAAAGAAAGCAAAAATGAAATCAAAGTTAACATATGATTTTATTAATCCTTGTGTGGTTATTTTCTTCATCTCAGTCAGTTTTATCAGCAATATATACTGCCCTCGGACAAATATAGTTTTAGTAGTATACGATTATAATATCAGTTTAGTATATACAAGGAAGTAGATTTTATAGAACTCGTTGATATGATACACATCTCCATGATTGGGATTAGTATTTATGACCTTTGTTATAACAAGTTTAGTTCTCACATATCTGGACATCACTCCTAATCATATACAGCTCAGCTTCCTTTATATCAAATTACGCTATTTATGAATAAAAAGGTCAAACGGTCACTATGTACTAATATTAAGGCCAAATAATTTTTTCAAGTGGTTGGTTGTCTTCAGTGACCGTATGCTTGTTCTAGAACACACGTGCAATTACTTATAAAGCCTCATGTGTAAATTATGTATTTATATGCACAAGAATGTGAAAAATAAAATGTGTTCAATTTCTCCTATCAGTAATATCTTATAAATAATTTTGCAGCGGTACCTGAAAACTTAAGAGAGGTAGCAAAGAAAAGCATCCCTACTTTAGAAATTTCAAACGCTGGTGACTCGTGGACAATCAAGACCACAGTGAGTGACAAGGTCAAGGACACAACGTTCAAGGTCGGAGAGGAGTTCGATAGCGTCTCATTAACAGGACAGCCGCTTAAAGTAAGTATCGTCTGCTTACGTTATTTTTGTTTATTCTGTTGTCATGACAGCACGGTAGTTACTTTAGAAACTGTTTGTATGGTATGCACGGGGGATTATAACAAGGTGGGGAGGAATGAAGTGGTCCAGTGTTGGAAAACGAGCTTATTATGGGTTGCCAGATAAGATCGATACCCGATATATATCAGCAGGATCGATATCTATAATAGGTTATTAGCATTCCGATAACTGTTAAATGCGTATACTTTCATTAAAGATATAAACTAGCTCACATTTGACATTTGAAAATATTGATAATAACTACACAGTCTTTTTATTAAATACAAGATAAACATGTTTTGACCTCACACAAAGTAAAATATGTTAATATGTTTTGCTTAAAAGCCTAGACCCACTATGAATATGAGCCGCGTCACGACAAAACGAACATAGTGCGTTTGCGACCAGCATGGATCCAGACCAGCCTGCGCATCCGCGCAGTCTGATCAGGATCCATGCTCTTCGCTATCAGTTTCTCTACTTGAAAAAGGGTTGGTAAGCGAACAGCATGGATATGCTGGTCGCAATCGCACTATGTTGGTTTTGTTGTGACGCGGCTCATATATAGTGTCATTAAAAAAAAACGGCAGTTTTTTTTTAAGAAAGGACAAGCTTTACTTGACTCGCAATAAAGAAAGCAGGTTCCCATACATAGTTTGTAGGTTCTTTTATCTAAATAAGACATATTCATTAAGAATTTTATAGATTTCAATAAATTTCTGCAATAAAAATATTTCACTGAAAGACGATCATAGTGTATATTTAAAAACAAAAAACACATGTCTATTACAATTGTGTAATTCAGATTTTGTTTAATTGTTTACAGTGTACGGTTGCCATGGAGGGCGAGAAAATGGTAGAGACACAGAAAGCTGGCGACGTTTCCGTGATTGTTACACGAGAAAAAGTTGGCGATCAGCTGATCTCGGTATAATATTACATCCTATTATAATAACATTACTAACACTTTTATCGACACTTACAAAAATAATAAAACACTAATGCTACCAGTAAAATTCTAGGCTAAAATTAATATCGAAATTACGAATTCTAGAAACGGACAATTCTGAGTTACAAGCGTAAAAATCCTTTCCGCTGAATGAATGCATGTGAATGAACAATAGAGTTTCATTTTTAATCTTCTTGAACTTCTTTTACATAGCTTCTCTAACGCTTTCCATGCTTTATTACTTAAATGGACTTGTCTATCTTTCAATATAAACAAAAAATTTAACAGTTTTAAGGGAAATTTCCAAAATATGTTCTAACTAAATAGCGAACGGCTCAGACCCTGGTCGATCGGCCTGGCTTTGCTTGATGGTCTTCGCTGGTCGCATGGGTAGATTCTGTAACCTCCGATGGGCTGAATATTAATTGTATGGGCTTCAAAAAGACACGTGCGGAAACTAACAGAGAACAACGTGCCCTGAGAAATCTTTTTTACCTTAACATATCTTACATCATCACTGCTGAGTCAGTGTTCTGTTTACATTTTCAGTCTACAACACAGATATTTGTAAGTGTAATACCAACAGAGTGAAAGCGTTCAAACATTAAGTTTTCGTAAATCGTGTTTACTCTTACATCATTAAATAACGATTGAATTTTCCCGTCGTTAAGTACCCAAAATTGTTCAATTTAACTAATAGTTCAAAAATACAACTCTAATTACCTCCCTTGCCGTTCTGGTGATAAATTCCACATACCATTTCACTGACCCATATGTTAACAGTGCGTGCTTGTATATAAGTGCAAATATTTGACAGAAATGAAGGTGACAAAAGAATTGTTATTTCCTTTTTTTAAGCCGAAAAAAACTCATAAAAATTGTATGGAAATGTTAATATGTTGTTCCTTCATTTCTTTTTTATTCTTTTTCAGACGATGACCCTTGGAGGACAGACAGCCACAATCACATTCAAGTCAGCATAATAAAGTGTTTCTATAGCAACATAGTGCAGTATTTAAAAACATTTCCGGTTAATATTTTGCAGGTTTTCATTTTGCTTTGTTTGATAAATAAAAATAACTATAAAAAAAGCATTAAGTGTTTTGTTTATCAAACCAGTATTACATGAACATAAAGTTAAGGAATAAACTTCTTACGGTTCTGCAAGGAATTGTGCAGAAATGAAATTATAGTAAAGAATATGTTATACGTATAAGCGGGGGCAGCCATTCTTGTATTGCCATATTCTGACCTGGAGAGGTAAATGTAGAACTGGCACCAGGAGAGGAAATTGGGTCCAACGATATTCATAGTTCACAACACCAAAAGAAAACGTCCATCTCTATCCTCTCTTCCCCTCAGTACATGCACGCCGTTGAGAGTCACAAAGTATCGACCAAAAGTTTGAAAAATTTGGGGCGACGAAAATAAACCGAAAATGGTCACTACTTTAATGTACTCATTGGCCGCTGTAGAGCAACCTACTTTCGACTCAAAATTCGTATCTTTCGCTAATATTCTGTGGAAATTTCATGAAGATAAGTTATCACCATTTGTGCTTCTAAATTTAACCTTTAAGGGCGCGACTAGTGACTATTCTGGGGTCTGAATTCGATAGCGAAAGTTAATTTTGCGCTTTTGGCAGATGGACATTCATTAAACGTAGATTGTATCATAGTTTGGGAACCTTTCTGTTGAAAATGTGTCAGAGTTAAATCGTATACATATACATGCACAGTGCGTTAACTGGAGTGCAGGTATTAGTTACCCGCACTCCAGAGCATGCCCATTGATTGGTTCATTTTTGCTGGGGTTTACTTATTGTGACGGCAGAGAAAGGGAAAGCGACAGAAATATCATATTCAGATGCTCGTTCATTGGTTACTTTTTCCCGGGGTTTCATATTGTGACAACAGGGAACGTGTTTTTATGTTTGACTATGATACAAAAGAGAAAGAACATCAAAACACTCGGCAATCTGATTAATACTCGGGGGCTACGCCCCCTCGTACAAATCAGATAGCCTCGTGTTTCGATGCTCTTTCTATTACGTATAGACTGTAGATAGACAGAAGAAAACGTCCTTTCATGTAAAATATGTTCTAATGCTAAATTTGCTGTAATCTAAAGTGTTAAACAACAGTAAAGAGCCAGGCAGCATGCACACCTTGCCACTAGTCTAGTGTAGACTGTCCACGGTGGTTATATCGTTGGTGTCTCAGTTAATTTCTTACTTTGTCTTTGAAACCTCTTATCAAAATCAACAGCTCATATATTGACCCAAGGGGGATGTTTTATATAACAATTGTCCTCAAGGCAATGTTACATGCAAAATATCTATTGTTATTTCACTCATGAACACTTATAAACTATTATTAATACGTAGTAGCCTATTAAAGTCTATATAAATACCAAGGACACGGTTTTAATACATGTGTATAACTTTTGAAAAGGACCACAAGCTGGTGATACATTACAAATATCTATAATCTGGACATTGTAATTTCTGAGAAGATTTTAAAGTCTGTTTTTAGCACGCATCACACAGGGAACCATTTATGTAACTTTTGTAAAGGGCCACCAAAGGATCATTAATTGAAATTTTGCCAAAACACACTTTCTGGTTGTTGTTTTCTCCCCCCCCCCCCGCCCCCTGCCCAAGAAATAATGGGTAACTACAAATAATGGACTAACTGGAATCATCATAAAAGCTCACCTTTGAGCATTTTGTGCCTGGTGTCAGGTAAACTAATAAGAAATTCAATTTCAATTTTATCTGATAATGCTTTAATTTGTTGATATTAATTTGCAACAAAACACATTATTTAAAACTTACAATTATGATGTGTAAACAGTTTTAACAAATTGGACATAAAAAAATTTCAATCATTATTGTAGTATAACTTGTTTCAATAAGACATTCATTCTTTGACAAATTAAACAATTATACCAGGCAAAATATAAAAATAATCACATTATAATTTGCACCAGATATGAAAGATATACTGAATTGAATACCCTCAAATACTCACTTTTGATATATTTGTAATACTTTACCATTTAATCAATGGTTAATGAAAAAAAGTTTTGATAAATGATTTAAACATGAAGTATTTTAGATACTCTCACTTGGAATATTCAACATTTTATCTGCAGTAAAAACAAAAGTGGACATCGAACAATTCTGTAGCACCTGCTGGATAGGTGTCACAAAATATCTGTGACATATAATATAGAATAGTGTCACATTATGATGATAACAGTGTCATATAAGACCACTGTGATATAAGGACACTGTCATATAACAGTTTCATCTAATTTAAGAACAGTGTCATATAAGAACACTGCCATATAACAGTGTCATATTATATAAGAATGATGTCATATAAGGAAAGTGGTATATAAACTTATGAAACTAGTTATACATTGTCCACATACATCAAAAATTTGTAAATGACTTCTCATTCATATGAAAATAAATATATTCAGTTTAGTTTATGATTGTGACCAAAGCTTAGAACTTATATAGACCACTTTAGTGTAAACGGTCAGGAATTGACAAAAATCATGCCTATTCAAGAAAATAAACCTGTTTGTAAATGCAAATTAATGTAAGATATACAAAACTTGCAAAACTACAAGCATTTTGATATATAATACACTGTAGATAAAGTTTTCCAAGTTTCATGAGGAAAGCTTTGATATTTTAAAAATATTCTATTTCATAGGCAAATTAACAAAAATTCTTAAAAAGGGGCAAAACTCCTAAAATATTGCCCCTTGTCTTACAACATCTCATCATGATTATTATGTACTCAAAGTTTCAAGGTGAAAACTTTAAAATTGCTTAAAAAATGAACTTGTAAAAAAAAACACAGCCATCACAATAGCATGATTGTTTCTTGTAAACAGATTTAAGCCATAAAAAATTTACTTCAGTTTGAGTGGTGTTGCCACTTTATTGAGCTTAATAGTAATCAAACTTACTATTATTCAAAAAGTAACAACACTGCAAACATCATATTACATTTTTTGACAACTTTTAACATGATACAGTACAGTATATACATGTAAATCTCTGAACTTGGTAAGGATTCGAAAAAAAAAAATCATATGAGCTCAGATAAATATCAATCTCAGTCATTTTCTATATTAAAAAAATCTATAGATTACAATCATTTCACTGAATCCTCCTTTTTGCAACTAAAACACGCAGCATCCACTGTAAAAGCTGACACACACAAACACATGCACACACACACGAACACACACACACACCCATAAAAATGTACAATGTACATTGTATTTACAAATGAGATCAGTTAACTAATAATTATTCTTACTTTCCAAAAATATCAGAACATGAGTATTTTCTCACAATAAAGTCCCTTTTAACTTTTAGGAGAATAAGTGATAAATTTCATGTAATGAAAAAATGTCCATCCCATGCAGAATTATAACACTATTCATCTATTTCAATTGATTTTCTGATAAAAATAAACATCAGTTATGTCTAAATATTAATTTTCCCTAAAGGAAAGCGGAACATACACAAAATGCAATAACTGGCATGTAGAACTTTTTTTAAAAATCCACCAAAGCCCTTTTGAACATACACAATAATTCCCCCAACAAGCATTTGTAACATCAACAACAATTACACCACAGGTCGGTTAACACTTAACACCTTCTGAAGCACCTTTATCATATTATATACATTCGACAATCAACTTTCATACAACTCTTCTCACGTACCAATCTTATAATGCCACTGGAATATCCTGTTACACTTCTGATATGTCGAGATTCTAATTGATCTAAAAAAAATGTCAATTAAAATAATCAAATTAGGATTTCTTGTCTCACGAAGAAATGGCACAAGTGAAATATAAAAAATAAATACAGTTTTCCCCAACTTACTGCTTTATAGAAATCCCAACCCATTAAAATAGACAAACAAACTGTCTCATAATGCTACATTTGTCAGAACAGTCTTAAATGCTTGACAATGACAAATCTTCAGATTAAATTGTTCAATACTTTTGCATGACTAGTAAATGAACTTTTACACAGAAGCTGAGCATTGAATGATTGCTTGCTATAATATCACTGGACGACAAGCATGAGGTAAAATATCTGAATGTCCCTTTTTCCTAACTATTTACACTATCATGCTTTCAACCAAGGATGCGACTCCAAGGAGGATTTGCTTCTATCTCCATAGTCATACAAGAGTTCTTCCCCTTCTTGAATATCCCTGGATGCAGCCAGGATAAGGTATGGTTTACCTCGTACATCTATAAGTTTTGTGTGACAGTTGCCGTTGGTTTTACTATGGTTTAAAAGGCGACCGAGTTTACCACTCTCTGCTGTTGCATCAATACTGAAATATACAAATCAAATGATTATTATGTTGACAGTTACAGAAAGAAATGACATTGTGATGTTTCTTTCATAGGTTTTTTTTTTCGTCAAGTTGATTATTCTAGTCTGACATGTCTATGAGAATTATGTAACTTTTGGGACATTTATTAATGTAACATTGGTATAGCTATGTCAAAATGAAACTTGTGTGTAATCACACTATCAATATGTTAGTGAATTGTGGCCTTATAAATATATCTGCTTGTGAGATATCAATAATCAAGATGAGACAAATTTATTCTTGCATTTCAGACTAATATGTCTGTAAGCTTTACACATGCTGGAAACTTTATCTGACATGGGGAAGTGCAACACGAGTCACATGCTCAGAAATAACATAATTAGTAATTACAGCTCATTTTATGAATGATAAGGTTATTTTATTGTCATAATTGAAGATGTAAATTCATACACTAGTAAAGGGTGAAAAAAAAATTAATAGCAATGAAAAGTTCATTTATTGAGGTAAGCTAAGATATACATTTTGCAATAATAATAATATCTTGTTGTAAAATGTTGCGGTTCATATTGGAATATCTGTCCTGGATGGGTTCCCGAGGTACAGATATTCCAATCTCAATCTAAACCACAAACATCTGTCTGATGTTATTCTTGCATATTCTACCATATTTCATCATATTTTAAACTCTACATTAATAAATAATATAATAAATTAATTTTTCCATTGAAATTTATGTCATTAAACCCGTAACTATTTTCATACAACGAAATTACAAATTTTTTCATAACGGCGGAATAACGTCATCCTTTAAGCGTGCCATTGTATAGCACGCAACTCATCTGGCACCCCCAATTCCAGATGAAATTTCCGGCATTAGTTAAAACTAACAGAAACGTCAGTCGATATGCAAGAATAGAAAATCTGACATATGTTAGTGTGTCAGACTGGAATAGTCATTCATTTCTCAGGTAGCCTCAGGACCGAACTGACACACATGACCAATCCAACATACCCCTTCCCTCAACCTCTAAACAACTGTTCATCCTTGTCTTTATAATTACATTGAAGTGACACAGTCTTAATTTTTATTTAAAAATTTCTTACTTATGGTGACTGAATCTCTGTAATATAAAATACATGTATAACAACATAAATAAAACACTCTCTAAATATACTTACCAATATTTTTTATTTTTAAACTGGAAGTAATACATGTAGCACCCTTTTGTTGGATCTTTGGAATATTTGGCATCTCGTTCCTTTGCCTCAGGTATACTTATCAAGTCTCCACAGTATTCCACAACAAAATCTCCACGTAGAAACTTCTTTGTTGCCATGACACCACGACCTTTGTTCTCAATCTCTTCAACCTATATACATTATAAAATATTAGCAACAGCTATAACTCAAACATTTTGTTAGATAACATATTAAATCCTTTACTTTTAAACATTAAAAAATATTTTGATGTTGACTTAATTTTGTTTTACAATTGATCTTATAAAAAGACCATTCCAAAAACTGAATTTTTGGGAGGTTTGGTTTTCATTGCACCAACATAGTAGAGGTCATATGTTGACTTTAACCTCTAATGTTGGAGGAAACACCCATATGCCCCTCTTTGCATTATTTCAGCCATGAACGGCCACACGGAGTTGAAACACGGATTATTCCATAAACTAGCTGGATAGCTTCCTCATAAGAAAGAATCCAAAGTCCATTGCGAGATTCAAATCATTCACAGTGGCAAGCGGCAAGCAGTTTGAAGTCAACGACTGTAACCAATCCCCTGAAAACTGAATTAGACAGAGCCAAAACAAATCTTAAGAATTATTTGCCCTTTTGAGAAATGACTGCTTCACATTATAATGGTGAACAAATATTTACAGTTTGAGGCCAATATCTTGACAACTTTTGAAAGATGGACCTTAAAATCAAAGTTGGCCTTCAGTGGTAATATTGTTGCAAAGGGACATTACCGCAAGTATACAATAATGAGGTTTTTTGCATTACTTCCCCTTTTCAAATATCGCTTACCTTGAGCCCATCTTCACAACCACTCAATATCTTTGTAAATAATTCTTCATCTTTCTCTTTCTGAAATTAATTCATCAATGGTAAAATCTTACTAACATACAGGCTTCTTTTAGTACACAAATAATAACTCTTAAGAAATTAAATTTCAACTTTTAAGTAAAAAATGATTAACATCATAATTTTCGCATGCCTGACAATCAATTTTAATCTTACTTAACTTTAGTTTTGAGCAGTATAATTTCATATATCTCCCCAATATTATATATCTGACTCTGCAACTTAATGTACAGAAAAGATACAATAATATTATATTCCTGACTCTGCAACTTAATGTACAGAAAAGATACAATAATATTATATATCTGACTCTGCAACTTAATGTACAGAAAAGATACAATAATATTATATATCTGACTCTGCAACTAAATGTACAGAAAAGATACTAAAACTGAAAACTTCAAGGGGCATAACTCTGTCAAAAGTCATAAGACCATGACCAATTTCAAACTTGACCTGCATTTTCCTATGATATACCCGTATGTCAAATTCGAAAGTATGAATGGAAACTGATGATGATAGAATGACAGAACAGGGTAACACTATATGCCCCGGCCATTTTTTTGGCTGCAGCATAATAAAAGATAAAGGTTAAAGCATCTACCTGGACTTCAGATTTACTTTTGCGGTCACTTCTCCTCACTGGGAAATAATCAGTGACTAGTGTATTCTTTAAACCATCACACTCTGTCTTCCTGGAGTTACAAACAATAAATTATTATATCAATATATCTAACTTAAAGTGACATTATGCCCATCCAAGTGTAAATGTTGATAAAACAAGCAAAAGTCAAAATATGTTAACGTTTTTCCATAGTTGTTTCCAATGTCATATTCTTCCTTAAGTGAATATTCAATAATCCATGTAGCACACAAAATGTACCATCCAAGGTTATTGCTTTAGAAACAAGTTAAAAAGGGTATTGAAATAGTCAATGTTCTTAAAAGTATATCTAATTCATATCAACTTGACAATGAAAGAATGAGCATAATGTTAATTTAAAGTTAGTCAGTGATATATGATATCACAGTATGCATCACAACAGCTACAGGCTGGCTGTATTCACCAGTCATTCACCCAGGTAGCTCAGTAAAAATGTTATGTCCCTGGCACATGAGTTAAAGTGTAATAGAAGAAACTGCAATTAGTTTTACATAAACAATTATACGTTGTATATTCAAAGACTTGTTTTCAAAAATAAAAATATTTCACTTTTATTTATGTATTTAAGTTTTCTGCCAGCAATAACAGTATTTCAGACATAAACAAACGAGCAGTTATCTGATGAAAGTTCATAAAAATAATACCTGCTTTTCACAAGAAACTATCAAAACCACTGAATATAACTAGCATTTAAAGTACTGTTGTAGGTATAATTATCACATAATACTACATGTTTGTAATGTCGCTTTTCATTGGATAAACATAATCCAAGACATTGATATATAATTATAATCTATTTAGACAACTGCAGTTAACCACCAATAAATATGTTGTAATATAAATAAGTAATAAAGATGTATAATATATGGCAGTGTATAAAAGGTTGTTTAAGCAGCTTGAGTTATACAAGCCAACAACCATTTATACTGACCCATTATAACCTTTCAGACATCTTTATAACTAATGATATACATGTATATACCAAGGGCATTTATTTTGCTGACTCTCTTTGTAACATATAGTTTCAAAAATATGTTACAGAATAAACTGACTTACTTTTTCCTTGGAGCTTTCGGTTTGGCTGGATTGTTAGTGACATCATTACTGGTAGCATCAGATTTGCTGGTTTCCGGCTGTTTCACTGCCTGTTTCTTTTTCCGTCCTTTCTTTCGGGATTTCGGCCTTTGAGGCTGCTCACTTGTCACAGCTTCCTCCTCCAACTTTTTAGAAAGAGTCTGGAACAAATTTACATTTGCAATTACAACAAACACACTGCATGCGCTGTTAAGTTATTAACAATCATTTCTAAGAGCAATGACTATAAATACAATTCTATTAAAGAGTATTATAGTGTATTAAAGTGTAAGTGCTTAAGACAATCTACTTCTCAGGAAAGAGGTATATTTTTGTGAGTGTGAATGTTCAAATATTGGTATTTATACTAAAGTTTAATTATTTTCATAGTGATAAAAAAGGGCTTAACTCTAGAATTACTGATCCATCGGTTATGATCCTCACTCAATTAGCATCTATACCCAGAATGAGTACAATATCTTTGATAGTTTCCAAAATTTTCTATCAATAATCAATTATTTAGAAGTAAATTTAATATTTTAAGTTAAGATTTTAAGTTAAGAGAGGGCATAACTTTTTTAAATAGATGCTTTCAGAATAAAGCCTCTTGTTATAAAACTATACCTTGTCATAATCAAGTTTTCCAAGTTTCATTTTGTTATCTTTGATAGTTTTCGCATGTTTCTACTGAAGCAGCAACTTTGACAAAAATTCTATGTCAAAAAAGGGGCATAACTCCAAACATATAGCTTTCAGAATGAAGCATGTTGATTTACAGCAGCATCAATTTATGATTAGCAAAAATCTCACATTTAGTGAATATAACGTTTGAAGTGTTTGTGGTAATGGGTGACATTTAGTTTTGACATTATGGCAAAGACAAAAAAACAACCGTGCAGTGATCATAATGCCATGAATTTTTCTTCAAAACATACAACAAACAAGGGTGCCATAGTCACAAAATACGCCCGTTTACGAAAAAGCTTTAGATGGAGATGGGGGCATTATGGATAAGTGTTATCTAGCAAGCAAGTTTTTATTCTTGGCACTGTGTTGTTAAATGAACCTTAAAACAAATCAGTAGAGAAGATATGCACAGGATGTGTGACCTTGACATTGGTCGCAGGGACCTGAATTTTATGCACGGCACTCAGCTTCACAATGATGAACATTTGTGCCAAATTATATTGAAATCCCTCTATGCATGTAGAAGTTTTGCTCCAGACAAGTGTTTTTCTATGAGCTCTAACTGTGACCTTCACCTTTGACCTAGAGACTTGGTTTATGTGCAGGGCACTACGTCTCATGGTGGTGAACAATTCTATAAAAGTAACATTAAAATTCCTCCATGCATGTAGAAAATATGCTCCGGACAACATCTGGATATTTAATCATCTCCAGTGACCTTGACCTTGCAAATATTAACCTAAATTAAATGTGTAACACCTGTAGTCATGATAGTTACCATTTGTGCTACAATCCATCAATAAATGATGACTAAATGGTCCCTATAACCATCTTCAAATTTTTATCTGAACTTTGACCTCTATGTGTAACCTTGAATTTTGCATGCGACACTCAGCCTCACAATGGTGAACATTTGTGCCAAGTTATATTGAAAACCCCCTATGAATGTAGAAGTTTTGCTCCGGACAAGCGTTTTTCAATGAGCTCTAAGTGTGACCTTGACCTTTGACCTGGAGACCTGGATCATGCATGGAGCAATATATATCATGGTGGTGAACATTTCCATAAAGTATTATAAAAATTCTTCCATACATGTAGGAGATATGCTCCAGACAAAATCTGGATATTTCACCATCTTTAGTGACCTTGACCTTGCATATATTGACCTAAAGTACATGTGTCACAGCCGTAGTCATTATAATGACCATTTTGTGTTACAATCCCTCAATAAATGATGATTAAATCGTCCCTATACACATCTTCATATTTTTATCTTTTTTTAAACGGGCGTATAAAAAGTACATGTAATTGTAATTTAATAACTAAAAAATTCTGATTTAAGATTTTATTCTAGGGAAATACATTACATTTCATTACAATTCTTAATCTTTGAATGAGCTGAACTGATATTTACTTGAAAATTAAAATATAATTAAATTTCTATGAGAAAGTATTTACATTTGATAAGGTAATTACTGTATGATCTTTATGAACAAATACCAAGTCTACAGAACACCATAGTTATCACAGTTAAGAATCTTGACCAATGAATGAAACATGTGTAAATAAATGTTACATTCTTTAGAACATACTCAAGTCCAAGAAAGAGGATTATTTCATGCCCTTTGATTAAATTCTATTTTTAGAATTGAAAGTGAAAGTAGATCAAGGGGAGTAATTGTGTAAGTCATTTATGAACAAAGTAATAACTTTGTTGTCGCCCTTTGATTAAATTCTATTTACAAAATCTGGATATTTCATCATCTTTAGTGACCTTGACCTTGTATATATTGACCTAAATTATATGTATCACAGCCATAGTCTTGATAATGACCATTTGTGTTACAATCCCTCAATAAATGATGACTAAATGGTCCATATACACTATGTGTGACCTTGACCTTGGCCGCAAGGACCTGAATCTTGCACGCGACACTCTGCCTCACAATGGTGAACATTTGTGCCAAGTAATATTGAAATCCCTCTATACATGTGGAAGTTTTGCTCCGGACAAGCATTTTTCAATGAGCTCTAAGTGTGACCTTGACCTTTGACCTAGAGACCTGGTTCATGTGCGCGACACTGCTCCTCATAGTGGTGAACATTTCTATGAAGTTTCATTAAAATCCCTCCATACATGTAGGAGATATGCTCCGGACAAAATTGGACGCCGCCCGCCCGCCCGCCAGGGGCGTTCCCATAATACGTCCCGTTTTTCAAACGGGCGTATAAGAAGTCATGTATTGAATGATAAGAACTTTTCTAAAGTTCAACACAATTTTTTTCTCCTTTTTGTGTCACATGAAACTCAATATACATGTACAGTGACTAAATTTATCCAAATCAACACATTTTAAATGATAGCCGTGTAATGGTAAATTTGTATAAGCATTAAGAACCATTTATTCTGCATTTTGATTAAAACAAATCTTCATACAGTAATTCATACCTTTTTGCATTCAGGTTGTTGAGTAGTCTCCCTTTCCTTGTTATCAGCAACATTAGTCTCCCCTTCATTACCAGACTGGTCTTTATTGGGGGAGGATTTAGGGGTGATCACCACAGAAGAATTAGATAATTGGTCAAGCTCTTTTGACTGTTGTGAGCTCAGATTTGTATCTGTAATATTATACAATGGAAATAATACATGTAATATGGGCAACAGGCATTCCTATGTCTTAGTAAACAGTAAAAACAAAGCATTTATATACCATATAAGACTTAAGTCATCTATTATTTTAAATTACATATGCTTCAGTTTACACACATTACTAAATTGTTATTCATAATAATGTACACAAACTTATAATGTCTTAGGTAGGATATTATATAACTGAAACAACACACTCATACTAACATCTGGTACGAGTCCCAGCAAATGATCGATGACGGGATGAAAGAATTATGATATTATAGTCTGTATCATGTCAAGTGAGAATTTTAAAGACTCATGTTAACATCAAAATTACATTGTGATTTGCGCCACAACCTCTATACTGCATAGTTTTTAAATGTCTTTTACTTGTAAACCGATATCAATAAAATTAAATGTATGCACTTTTGGATGTAAAGTGGTTATATTTTGAATTTGCATATGTAAATTTTATTATTTACAGTAAAGATAAGAAAGGGTATTAAAATTGAGCTATTTAATTTGGGAAATGGCTCGAATCATACAATGTAGTCTCTATTTCTCATGTTTTAGTCACTGATAATTTTGTCAATGACTGCAATTTGACAATTGTGAATTTTCATTAAACAATTGCGAAAAAAGATACTTTTTGGTTTTCTGAATGGAATCCTAATAATGAAATTCCCAGTAGCAAAAAAAAAAAACAGCTGGTATTGGTTCATTTTTTCCCTACCTCACTGAAAGTGTACAGACTATAATGGGTTAGTAAGAACAAAGAAAAACTTCTATACCGTATGATAAATAAAAAAATTATTTCATTTACTGTAGACACTAATACACTGTTTCTTACCTAACTCTTTATCAGTCAGTGAAGTGTGATGGGACTGGGAGTCATCCAATGAAGGGCTTGGTGGGAAATAATCTGTTATCTTTGAATCATTTAGTGTGCTTGAAGCCATTTTTTACACTGGAAAGAAGAAAACAACTGAAAGTTGATAACCTTTACAATGATTAAATACACAAAAAATAAGGTAGCAAGAAATGATTCATAGTATTCATCAATAAAAGAGCAAGAAAAAGTTCTAAGTATACGAGTATGTCAATCAAAGTAGTCCATTAAACATGTTTGCCTACAATATTTAAAGGTGCTTTCAAGATTGTTAATCAATTATTCACTGCAGACAGTGCAGTGGTGTTTTTTTCCAATCGAAAATACAGACTTTTTTCCCCAATTCCAAACAAAAAAATTCCAAAATATATAAGATTGAGATCATGAAATTATGAATCCACTAAAATTTCGAAACATGCAGACAGATGGAACATTTTAACAAACATAATTGAAATATTCAATGGAAACAAAAGAATGAGACATTGAAATTTATATATGATAGTGTATCTATTGGAGATGTGCCTGGAAAGTAATTCTTGATAATATTTTTGGCAGTTTTTGACTCTGTGTTAAGAAATAACCTATTCCACCAGCTGGTGATAGATATGGTGTGGATAAGCTGTTTGAGACCCTTTTTTTGCATTTGACCTTGACCTTTGACCTTGCCACACGGTTCTTGTGCACCACATGCTGTCTCATTATTGTGAACATTCGGCTAAGTTATTTAAAATTTTGAGGTGAGATATTGCCCAGACACGAAAATAGCACAATATCTTGTCGCGCAGTACAATTAGTTGGACTTATTCACGAATTTGACAACCTAGCTAAACACCGTTTTCCAGTACTTTCTGTACATAGCTCTGGGGAATTCACCTGATAGAATGTAATAACAAACTCAATCTTTTTGGTATTTTTTTTTATTAAAATGAAATAAAACAGTTATTACTTTGTAAGAAAGTAAGAAAGTAATTAAATATCATTGTATGAATAATTCCATACAAAAAATAAAGTAAACACACAAGTTCAGGCAGAAAATATCTCTTATTCATTATGGAAGATGCCACTACAACTGTTTTACTTTTATTGATTTTTATTATAAAAAATTTTTTTTTTTTAATTTTGCAATGGATACTGAAGGAAAATTGATAATTTTCAAACACAAAGTTTTTTCACCTTCAACGGCAAAATAATGATAAAAAAATAGAAATATCACATAATAGTGTCATGTACTTCTTTAGGTGGAATTCCCCATAGCTAAATCCGTATCATACCTGAAAACGGTGTTTAGCTCGGTTTTCGAAAAGGTCAATTCGGTATTTAGTCATCTATCTTCCTTATAGTCAAACCCCTGCTGGGGACCTAGACTTGACGCGCGTCAACTGACAAGAATGTTAGTAAAAGAGCTGAATAAAAGAATATAAAAGTAATGGAAATGAGTATATTGTTAAAAACAGGTTAAAAACAGAATAGGTATTTTAGGGAGACGTATGTTCAGTTTGGCTTACAGCCAGACTGAACTCAGGGCCAGACAAGTTTATGATATCAGGTGGTAAAGCATTCCAGTGGACTATTGTTCTTGGGGAAAAATGAATATTTATAGTAATCAGTTTTGGTTTGGACTTGCTGGAATGCATAGAGATGGGATGTTCTAGATGATCTTGTAAGAGGGATGATATACTTTGGGAAAGGGATAGCCACCTGGTCATGCAAGATGTTGTGAAACATGACCAGGCGTTGGTCAATACGCCGAAGGTCAAGGCGCCTCCATTGAATGAAGGGAAGTCAACATGTCAGTAACACTTGACATACGGCCAAAGTCATGTTTGACCCACCTAGCAGCCCTTCTCTGGACGGACTCTATCTGGTCAATAAGAGTTCCTGTGTAGGGGGACCAGACCGTGGACCTGTACTCGAGCTGGGCCCTGACAAGTGTCTTGTATGCCGTTGACTTTAACCTTCCTGAGTGAACTTTAATGTTTCGGCGTAGAAAACCAAGTGTTTCATTTGCCTTTGTTGTGATGTTGTTTATGTGTTTGTTCCAATTTAGAACATTTGATATTGTAATGCTAAGGTATTTTGCAGATGGAACTGTTTCTAATGTGGTGTTATGTAGGAGGTATTGTGTTGGAATGACTGTTTTTCATTTTGTGATTAGGATGACCTGGCATTTTGATGGATTAAATTGACATACGGCCAAAGTTTTTTTGAAAATCAAGCGACACTACAAAAATACTAATAGCAATGAAAACTGGAAACAAGTCCCTATAAATAGCCAAGGTGTAGGAATATCAAATATAAACCAATGAGAAGTTGTTTTGTTGATGCCAAGAAACAGACACTAAAAATAGAACTAAAAAAGGTAAACAATCCAATGAAGCGTAATTAGTTATTTTAATGCTTAAAATAATTCGATGGATTAAATTGCATGTTCCATTTTGTCTCCCATTGTTCAAGTTGGTGTAAGTCATGTTGCAGTAAGCAAGAATGAGAAGCGACAGTCAGAGAATGGATGATGGCCATGTCATCAGCAAATAGGCGGACTTTAGAGGATTGGACATATTCAGGAAGGTCATTGATTTTTATAAGAAATAAGAGAGGTCCGAGGACCGAGCCCTGGGGAACACCGGCGGAGACTGGTATGGAGCTGGATGTGGAGCCATTTACCACCACGGACTGTGACCTGTTATCAAGAAAACCTTTGATCCATTTAAGAGTTTGACCCCTAATACCGTAGAAATGCAGCTTATACAGAAGTTTTTCATGGTTAACCATATCAAAGGCCTTAGAGAAGTCAAGAAGGATTAAGTCTATATGGCTTCTCTGATTTACTGACTGTAGGATATCATCTATAACTTATAAGCATTAATAATTGGGATTGACATGACCTTTTTTCTCCATGCTGCAATTCACAGAACAAGTTTGATCTAGTATTTAAAGTGCTTTATTATACTGGAGGAGACAATTTTTTCCAGGGTTTTACACAAGATACAGGTAAGAGAGATAGGGCGATAGTCATACCAGTGTAAAAGTAGCAGATGTAAACGAAGTCGTAGAATTTTTGACTTCCATATAAAACATTAGTGTGGTGGGACAAACGTTTGTCCTTTTTTTAAGAGCAAACACTAGAAAGTCATGCTTATTTCAAATTATGAAATCACTTTCTGTGTTTATGAATTTACGCCGAAAATTGGTCTAACCGCTCTAGTTCACAATAATTGTTTACACTATTTGCCAAAATACAATTAATGTATTATATTATACAGCAAAAGAGTTATTAGGGAAACTGTAACAAGACCGAAAAATAAACAGTTTTAGGCCAAATCAGTAATGGGCCTTTAACATGTTTAAGATTACCAACGCTAAGCATAAGTTAAGAAAATGATCAATGAATTGTCCTAAAATTAAATAAAAATGGGTGAAATGTCTCATCGTGAACTTTTTGCGTTTGCATACATGTGTAACTTACGTTAAATATTGTGTCCTTTCTAAACTTATTTTGAAAAAAAAAACATGGACTGGTTTAACACAAAATAACCTGATAAAACCAAAGAGAGCAAAAGCACAAAAAGAGTTGTTTTTTTTTACCAACAAGAAGTTAATGTAAATTACTAACAACTGAACAAATGAGCAGTCTGGTTATACCCGGGTAAATAGTGTAAACTATATACATATAACATGTCAGAAATATTTTTAACGAATTGATAATAAAGCAACCATCTTTTTTAAAGGAATAAAGCGAGATTTATTTATAAATCTCGGAGACGTGGACTGGGATAATGGATGTACATTGCCAAATGCTAGGGATAAGACTTTTTGTGATAAATTAATCGATATAACTTCAACTTGTTTTATTGAACAAATTAACAGAACCCCTACACGTAAGGGTAGGATTTTAGACTTATTCTTTACGAGCCATCCAACACTCATACAACGACACGTAGTCGGACCACCTATCGGGCTTAGTGACCATGATATCTTATCTGTAACAACATTTATCAAGCCGGTTATTAACAAACTACCGCCGAGAACCGTGTTTAATTATAGAAAAGCGGACTGGCGGAAAATTAAAGATCGTGTGCTATCATTTCAACACGAGTTTCTGCGTAATATACATAACAACACAGTTGATGTAAACTGGAACAATTTTAAACAAATATTATTAGAATCAATGGAACAATATATACCGAAGAAAACTGTAAAAGGGAAATCGGACATACCGTGGTTATCAAAGAATATCAAACGGCTTATTAAGAAAAAACGCTACTTATATAACATTGCAAGAAAAAGTAATAACGCAAGTGACTATAAAAAAATTAGTGACCTTCGCAAAACTGTAAGGAATAAATTACATACTTCCTACTACAATTACATTAGTAATCTTCTAGATCCAGAAAATGATAAATCTTCGAAATCCTTTTGGAAATATATAAAGTCTCGTAAACAAGACAGCGTGAACATTGGAACATTGAAAAACAACGGTCAAATCGCCGAATCCGCTAGTCATAAGGCAGAAATGCTTAACAACCAATTTTGTTCAGTATTTACGAAAGAATCTTTGGACAATCTACCTAATAAAGGATCTTCGCCATACCGCTCGATGCCCAAGATAAACGTTACATTAAATGGTGTTGTTAAGTGTATTAACAGACTTAATCCCAAGAAAGCTTCTGGGCCAGATAAAATACCTATCATAGTCTTGAAAGAATGTGTAACTGAAATAGCACCAATTATACGGTCTTTATTCCAACAGTCAATTGATAAATCTGAAGTACCATTGGACTGGAAAAACGCTAACATTGTACCAATTTTCAAAAAAGGCGACAGAACCAAACCATCAAACTACCGCCCTGTAAGCTTAACCGCAGTTGTTTCTAAAATGATTGAACATATAATAGTCTCACAAGTAATGAACCATTTAGACAGCCAGAACATTCTTCATGAAAACCAACATGGGTTCAGGGCTAAACGCTCGTGTGAATCTCAACTTTTATTAACTACAGATGACATTGCTCGTAGTGTTAATCTTGGTCACCAGGTTGATATGGCGGTGCTTGACTTTTCTAAGGCTTTCGATAAAGTGTCACATCAGCGTCTCTCTGTGAAAATGCAATATTATGGTATATGTAATGAAACCAACTTATGGATTAATGAATTCCTTAACGGTCGTTATCAACGAGTAGTAGTAGACGGAGAATCACCAAGACCGTCACTGGTAACATCTGGCGTGCCCCAGGGAACCGTGCTTGGTCCTGCATTGTTTTTACTATATATTAACGACATCGCCTCGGATATTAAGTCATCAATTCGCCTATTTGCTGACGATTGTGTCATTTATAGACCCATACTCACCAGTGAAGATCATAATATTTTACAAAAAGACCTGGAAACCTTAGTTGATTGGAGTAATATCTGGCAAATGGAATTTAACGTCGATAAATGTGCAACCATGTCAATAACAAATAAACGTAACAAATCTGTATTTGACTACAAAATGAAAAATCAATCACTACATATTGTTAAAAACCATCCATATCTGGGAGTTGAACTAGCAGATACTATGAAATACAACCTACACATCGATTCAATCACAGCAAAAGCTTCTAGTACTCTTGGTTTCATCAAACGGAACTTAAAACATTGCCCGACCACAGTAAAGGAAAGAGCTTATCAAACTTTGGTTCGACCTAAACTGGAATATGCGTCACCAATTTGGAATCCCCAACAACTTAATACATCAAAGAAACTTGAACAAATACAACGGAACGCGGCAAGATTCGTCATGAATAAACCATTCAATCGTAACAATCCATCTAGCGTAACATCAATGCTACACGACCTAAAATGGCCAACACTTGAACAACGTCGTCAGTGTGCGGATTTAATTCTTATGTATAAAGTGTTTAATAACCTGGTGGCTGTACCAGTTGAATACCACCCACAACTATCTACAAGATACACAAACTCGGTAAAGTTCGTCACTTATCACTGCAGACTTAATGCGTACAAACATTCATTCTTTCCAAAAACTGTACCTTATTGGAACAACTTACCAACTAACATCACAACTGTGGACAATCTGGACAGTTTTAAAACCGCTGTCCAGTCATACGTATATGTGTAAATTATTAAAATCGTGTATAGTGTACAAACATGTTGGATTTTACTTCACACTACGTTTTCACATTATTTTAACTCGAACGCCTGGTGCCGCACATGGGGGACAGGTTTTTAGCCCACGTTTTAATGGAGCACATTTCACATCACCACTCGTCGCTGATGTCTGCACAGCGGATTTACAGACGATATCAACATAGAAGTAGAAGTAGAAGCAGCCGTGTATATAAAACTTTTTATTTCATGCTTTCCAGTGATTTATTGTAATATATCAGATGATTATATTCTGATAAACCACTAGTGAAATTTATAAAATATAGTTTTCACTGTAGCTGGACTATATCTGAATGCGGATGAAAAGAAAATCATAGCTAAATGGAATAACAGGCAGAAATAAATGCCGTCATGTGCGTAAATTTTGCTTTTTTAGGAAAAGAAAGTCGATGTCGTCATACATCATGTTAAAAATGTAACAAAATTAGAGAAATGTAACAGACCTATATTTCAAAATTAATAATGTGACGTCATGATGTGATGACGTCACAAGGAAGAATGCGCGACGTTACGCGGCAAAATTAGTAAAAAAGTACTTAAAATCACTTAAAAAGCATGAAATAAAAAGAAATTGTATTTGTTTTACATATAAGATTGAAATATATTTCATTCGTGAACAACAGCTATTATATTTTCACTCGTGGCTACGCCACTCGTGAAAATATTGCGTCTGGTGTTCACTCAGTGAAATTATATTTCAATCTTACATGCCAAACAAACAAATATCCTCTATATAATACTGCACGTTTGTAACGTTGCTTTTCATTGGATAATTGTGATGTTTATATGGTTTTATATACATGGCTGATGTAGATTTCTAAAGAAATCTCGCTTTATTCCTTTAAAAATGATTCTTGCTGTATTATAAATTCGTTATAAATATTTCTGACAGGTTAATTATATGGCCATATATAAACGGTTGTTTGCAATATAAACCTCGCCTAGCGGCTCGGTTTATATTTACAAACAATCGTTTGTATAGGGCCATATAACCTGTCAAAAGTCTTTATAACTAATAATATAAACGTCACGATTATCCAATGAAAAGCGACGTTACAAACGTGCAGTATTATCAAATATAGAATAGTTTTTTAACCTTATATATGTGACATGTTGATATATTATAATAAAACACGATTGCAAGATTAACATAATTCAGATATCAAAAAATGTAAATGAAGTTTCATTGATATTGGTCAGAACTCTAATAACATAGATCATAATAGAAGGTTAAAGAACACATATTATAAACAAACAAACAGCATATATCTTAAAGTTATACTTTTGAAGGTGTTAGACAATACTTTGTTTAAAAGATATTCTTTCATTATATAATTATATTGAACAGAAAAGTGGCAAAACTGTGTACAACATCATAATTTTCTGAAGACATAGGCCACGCAAATTTCTGAGCAATAGGCAATGATTAATATCAAATATTTTATCAAATTTTAAGAAAGGTTTTCTACTATAGTATCAAAACTATGGCAAAACATTGAAAATGAGTTTTATCTTAAACTAAACTTGAATATCACAAATTGCATATGGTTAAAGTGTGCTTGAATTTTCCTATAGTTTAATGTTTCAATGTCCAATTTATGAGCACTAATCCAAAACTAAAAAAAGACACTCTACAAAGTCTAAATTTATACAGTGAATATGTTTGTAATTTACCTTAGGATAAAAAGATTATAAACATGTTTCGCTTTAATAAGCCTTATCAATTGATATGATATATAACAAAGGAAATGACGTAAAGCTAATACAGTAGAATATTTAATGAAAGTTATCTATCTATTATTCCACTTTGAGCATTATGTTCAAAATTAATTTCTGTTACAGAAAAAAAATTCAGTGTCCATATGAGTACATTATTAATAATGCTACGATAGTTTATAAAGGTTAACATAATAAAAAAATGCGTGAATAAAGGGAGGTAATGTAATTATAATTTTATTGACATAGATAATGTATTTGTATCAATTTAAAAAAAGATTCCTAGATACAATAAAAATACATAAAATAGAAAAGTCATTTTATCCCGATATGTACTTAAAAGATATGGATGAGTTTGTAAAAAAAGTTTAGTATAGATACTTTGAGAATGATTCTACAATTTATAATTAAACATTTCGGACACCATGTTGCCAACTTATGGATCCGATTTGTCTCTTTCAATAGTCTCCACATATAATCATGAACTTTATATAATGGCACGAAGAAAAAGTCATTATCTGAATGATCTACGTAATGGAAATGAATTGCAAAATTAGAAAAAATGAGAAGGCAAATAGTTATTATATTAAATTTACGTCTGTTCATTCGTTCCAAAACCTGTTGATGAGTTTGGCCGACATATTGTATTT